CTGTCTCAAAAAATTTGCATATTTCATCCGACCAATAAAAGAAGTGTTTTTAATACAAAAAAAAAAGTCAACCTTCAAATAATTATGTTCAGTTATGCACTCGGGAATCTTTTTGCAGAAATGACTGCTTCAATGCGGCGTGGCATGGAGGCAATCAGCCTGTGGCACTGCTGAGGTGTTATGGAGGCCCAGGATGCTTCGATAGCGGCCTTAAGCTCATCCAGAGTGTTGGGTCTTGCGTCTCTCAACTTTCTCTTCACAATATCCCACAGATTCTCTATGGGGTTCAGGTCAGGAGAGCTGGCAGGCCAATTGAGCACTGTAATACCATGGTCAGTAAACCATTTACCAGTGGTTTTGGCACTGTGAGCAGGTGCCAGGTCGTGCTGAAAAATGAAATCTTCATCTCCATAAAGCTTTTCAGCAGATGGAAGCATAAAGTGCTCCAAAATCTCCTGATAGCTAGCTGCATTGACCCTGCCCTTGATAAAACACAGTGGACCAACACCAGCAGCTGACATGGCACCCCAGACCATCACTGACTGTGGGTACTTGACACTGGACTTCAGGCATTTTGGCATTTCCTTCTCCCCAGTCTTCCTCCAGACTCTGGCACCTTGATTTCCGAATGACATGCAAAACTGAGCAACAGTCCAGTGCTGCTTCTCTGTAGCCCAGGTCAGGCGCTTCTGCCGCTGTTTCTGGTTCAAAAGTGGCTTGACCTGGGGAATGCGGCACCTGTAGCCCATTTCCTGCACACGCCTGTGCACGGTGGCTCTGGATGTTTCTACTCCAGACTCAGTCCACTGCTTCCGCAGGTCCCCCAAGGTCTGGAATCGGTCCTTCTCCACAATCTTCCTCAGGGTCCGGTCACCTCTTCTCGTTGTGCAGCGTTTTTTGCCACACTTTTTCCTTCCCACAGACTTCCCACTGAGGTGCCTTGATACAGCACTCTGGGAACAGCCTATTTGTTCAGAAATTTCTTTCTGTCTTACCCTCTTGCTTGAGCGTGTCAATGATGGCCTTCTGGACAGCAGTCAGGTCGGCAGTCTTACCCATGATTGCGGTTTTGAGTAATGAAACAGGCTGGGAGTTTTTAAAAGCCTCAGGAATCTTTTGCAGGTGTTTAGAGTTAATTAGTTGATTCAGATGATTAGGTTAATAGCTTGTTTAGAGACCCTTTTCATTATATGCTAATTTTTTGAGACAGGAATTTTGGGTTTTCATGAGCTGTATGCCAAAATCATCAGTATTAAAACAATAAAAGACCTGAAATATTTCAGTTGGTGTGCAATGAATCTAAAATATATGAAAGTTACATTTTTATCATTACATTATGGAAAATAATGAACTTTATCACAATATGCTAATTTTTTGAGAAGGACCTGTATACTCAATTCACAATATACACTTCACACATTCAAACATGATTAAAATGCACACTACAACATGAATGTTAATTAGGTTATGCTTTGTGAATAGGATTAACACTGCCGATTAAAAGTTTATTGTTTTAAAAAAAGAAGTCTTTTATGATCACCAAAGCTGCATTTATAGATCAAAAATACAGGAAAAGAGGGGGGAAATATGTCCCCTGTGTATGATCAGCAGGTGCAGGATCAAAATGAAAGGAAAATCCACAAACTGTTTATACCCTTTATTTGTGAAATAAATCAGCTATGTTTCGAACAATAAAGGTGTCTGAAGGCTGAAGGTCTGGATCTTTATTGATCCAAAATATGCTGTTTTAATTTGCAAATAGAAAAATTGCAGATTTTCCTTAAAGGGGTGGTATAATGCCCCTTTTTACAATATGTAAAATAAGTCTCTGTTGTCCCCAGAGTGTTTATGTGAAATTTTTGCTCAAAATACCAAACAGATCATTTTTACAGCATTTTAAAATTGTCCCTTTTTGAGGGTCAGTAAAAAACACGTCGTTTTGTGTGTGTCCCTTTAAATGCAAATGAGCTGCTGCTCCCGGCACAGAGGGCGGAGCTTCAATAGCTTGTGTGTGTGTGTGTGTGTGTGTGTGTGTGTGTGTGTGTGTGTGTGTGTGTGTGTGTGTGTGTGTGTGTGTGTGTGTGTGTGTGTGTGTGTGTGTGTGTGTGTGTGTGTGTTAGCAGCTCCGATTACTTCACGCAGACAAGCACTAAAATGTCAGAAATGGTTCTGCCTTTTATGTTTTATGTTTAAACTTGGACAGTGATGGACTCAATAAGAAGTGACAACATGTAGAATGCAGCAGGACGTTTCTGAATGGCTAGTTGATGAATTTATGTTGCTGATGTGGAGTTAACTATCTTCAAGTCTTTGATTAGCATATTCTGTCATGATAATCTATAAAATCGCTGGTGTGGGAACTGTTGTAAGATGCCTACAGAGTGACATGCTATTGCATTTGTGTTACGTACTGTATTGCATGTGAAAAGACAGATGCGACAGCTTGAGCAGAGTCCCAAATGTGCTTTACTACTACAACTCTTCCTCTTCTCAACATGGACTGCGTGTTCCCGAGGGTGGGGTTTATGTAAATTTTAGTGTTAGTGATGTCACTAACCCGTTTGTTGTAGTCCTTAATTTCTTTAAAAGCAAATATCTTCCTTTGCCTTGAATTTTGAACGCTGTAACTTTGCAGATGTTGTTTATACTCAAACTGCAACATTACACACTAACTAAAGTTAGAAAGGTGAAATCATAATCAACCACCCCTTTAAAGGGTAACTCAACCCCTGGTCAGAGCCTGACTCCGCCCACTGGCAATATTTGAAAAATGCTGGAAAAGTGGGCAGAGCCCAGCGGAGGGGCGTGCTCCTGAGACCCACATCTCTCTGTAGGCAAGGGCGGGTTGAGCTGGTGCCTGCTTACATTCAACCTGAAGAGGGCAGCACTCAGAAGCATTTTACACCATATATTGTAGAATTAAAACACTTTATACCTAGCCTGGATGCCAGCCCGAACCCCGCCCACAACATTTTTTGGTTGGGAAGTTCGGTCTGGACTCGCTCCATTGAGGAGTAATTATGATCAGTCAAAAAATGTTCGGGCCAATCAAATTGCCAGGGCGGGCTTTATATGATGATGGACAGATGATCTGCAGGGACGTAATCATCACGTTATCAAAGAGCGCTTAACTGGTTTCCCTCAGAGATGACTGCCGCTGGAGAACTGAGATGTATAGATTCCGCTATCGCGTCTGTTGTAAAAGAAATCGACAGCGCATTCATTTTAATAGACGAACAGAGAACTGCAATCAAGGCATTTGTCGATCGGAAAGATGTGTTTGCCGTCCTTTCTACGGAATTCGGCAAAAGTTTAATTTATCAGCTGGCTCCGATGGTCACTAAGAAGATGGGACGCAATGAAAACCCTGTGGTCGTTGTGGTTTCTCCTTTGGGCGCACTCATAGAGGACCAAGTAAAAGAAGCAACACTCGTTATTTTACTTCTTCCAGCGTGCGTGCATTTGAGTTCTGTGGTTGACAACTGTGCTATGCAAAGTAGTTGACTTACTGCGTTGCTCTCATTGGTTGTAGGTCTATCCAATTGAGTGCAGAGTCTTTTTTTTTTTCCTGGTTCGGTAAAGACACGCCTCATAATCAAAGCCCTATGGAGCAGTATCAGACTCACATTCTGACTAGAATATGAGTATGACGAAGTCAGGCTGAGGCTACTTTATACCCAAATGTCAAAAAATTTACTTGAATCAATGAACAGCATTAATAAAGCCCCAGGCTTACACATCGTTAACTAAAAAAAAGTTGTTTTAGGGTTTAGTTACCCTTTTAAAAAAACTACTGCTAAGAAATATTATAGTTTAAAAACCAACTTTTTTCTATTTTAATATATTTTTAAATGCTATGGCAAAGCTGAATTTTCAGCAGCCATTAATCTAGCCTTCAGTGTCACCTGACCCTTCAGAAATCATTCTAATATACTGATTTGGTGCTCAAGAAACATTTCGTATTATTAACAATGTTGAAAAGAATCTTTTGTAACATTTAATATATATACTGTCACTTTACAGCAATTTAATGCATCCTTGCTAACAAAAATAAAACTACAAAAACAACAGCGACCCATAGTGTAGTTATGTTTAGACTATCCGGTCCACGAGAGTCAGAGGCGGCTTAAGGGAGATCCTTACTAAGGAATAGTGACCTTATAGTGACCATTATAGATTTCTTTCCTCATAGCATCTGCTGTAGTCATTTCACAGACCCCTTGAGATCCAAGGGGATTTATAGTACAATCCCCCTGCAGCATCCTACAGATTAAGTGCATTTCTTAATGGCACAATGGGGATGCCAAATGCCTTGCTTCTTGCTGTCATTGACCATCTGATCATCAGCCCTGGACATTTACCACAATGCCACACCACCTCACCAGGTTGGGTCTGTGACTTCAGTGTCGGAGCGTACCATTCCCCTCCAGGTGGATTTGAATATGTGGCTTGCATTGCTTTTCCCCCAGTGTATTCATTCCCAGTGCTTCTTGCTCTCCCCTGACAGCCTCCGCTGTGGTCTTCCCCAAACTCCTCCCCAGCTTCGAGGAGCACGCAATGTGCCACAGGTGTCCCTGTAGACCAGCTGTTTGTCATGCTCTTTGTCATTTGCGAAGCACACTCACATAGACTCAATCCTAAAGCTTTACTCGACACTAAAGCTGGATGCCTCTACATCTGGACAGGCAGGTCAGCCCTCTTCCTCTCTCTCTCTCTATTCCTAGTTCACACATGGCGATATAAATTCCGATTCAGCGATTGAGGCTTTTCTTTCTTCAATGGACCAGACTATCTCTCAGTGGGTGGGGAAAAGAGACAAACTGTTTGCACTGCAGAGATAATTCACAGTGGATCAGAGTTGTTAAGTTATTCCGAGTGAATTGTGGGAGGACCGTGGCAAAGAGCGTCTGTTATCACCTTATTCAGAAGGAGGCACATTAAAGAGCCATTGGGAAAAGCAGAACAAGGACTCCATCTGTTACTTTACATTAATATGATCCACTTTATGGGACTATTCCACATCTGAAGTGATAGAGGAGTACCTGTGTTGGGTTTTCTGTGGTTTTTGGCACCATGGCACACGCAGCAGCACACCTGAAAAAGGCACGGGAACTGGAACAACCTCCTGAGATAAAGGCTCTCGCCAAAGCCAGAGAGAAGCGCAGGAGACACAGAGAGAGAGCAGAGCGCAAACGCAAGGTATTAATGCTTACGAACCGTTAACAACAGTACTTAACCTCAACTTCATCCATGCAAGCTCAGATACAGCTGACCTATTGACCCTTGGTCACATTTAGGAGTGCATGCTGCTGTTTAAATAAATCTGCCGTTATTTCATTTGAAAGTGGGAATGTCAAAATCGTTTTGGAAGGCAAATAAGAATGAACACAAACAGCCCTAATAGTATAGTCAGTGTATTTGTAATGTGTACATATATTATCTAGTAATCTAGTTGTGTTGTTCTCCATATTTTAATTATTTATTCTTTGCGAATTGTTCATTTTTGTGCTTTTAGTGTTAGCGGATGTAAAGTAACTGTGATGAGAGTTAATCTCGCTATAGGATTCACATGCACAGAGGGTTTATGGAGGTCAAAGGGTATGATGATGTCATATATGGAATGTTACATATGGTGCATTCCAGTAATATCAGTGAAATTATGGGTGCTTTGTAAAACTTTGACCTGCTCTGCCTCAATTGTCATGCATATAAATAATTTAAGAATTATTAATAATTTGTTTGATCTCTTTCTAATGCATGCAAATGTTACAATTCAGCAGTCCCAGTCAGACAAAATATGCATGACTTTTTGTGCTACATCTAAAGATTTTTTTTACTTTTATTATTTTTATTAAATAATATTATATATATATATATATATATATACATACATATATATATATATATATATATATATATATATATACAGTATATTATTGATTTTTAAATAATTGTCATCTGTGTATAAGAATTTAACCCAGATATTACCTGCAGTAAAAAAATAATAAAACTTTTTATGGTTGCCTTTTTTTTTTTTTTTTTTATGCTGCAGATGAGCTGTGGGAATAAATCCTGTAGTCAGCTGTTCCGCACCTGTTTCCAGGGTTCTCAAGTTTTATCAAAAGCTTAGAGTGAGATCACATGCGGTTAGGGGAGGAGCCTAAATGGAGCCCCGCCCCCAATTTTACCCATTGTTCATAATTAACCAGCAAAAATTGAAATTATAACAATTGGTAAATCTGATAAATGACAGAGCAATTCATCACATCAAATATAGGCCTACTCTTTAATGTTATATTTCAAAATTAGGCTACAAATATATAACAAATTGCTCCAAAATGTTTGGAAAAACAAATATTTTTGCATTTTTCCCTGACATCTTTGAAAAATACAAATGCAATGGCAATGATTAGGCTAATGTATGTTTTGACAGGATATACAATATTACCAAGAGCACTCTGCTTTAGCCTTAATGTAGCCTAACTAGAAATACTATTAATACAGTATAATATAGAATTTAAAATAAACTGAAGAAATACATCTTCATTCCTTCCCATAGGCTACCCAATAACATTTCCTTAGCCAAACTGAGCCAAAGCTTTTGTCCTGGTTGCAAAGCAGTTGTAGAGTTTTTGACTGCATCAATAATGTATACGATGGGCTATATATTAAATGTTCTAGAACTTCTAGTCTAAAAATGTTAGGCGAGCTTTCTTCCAACTTACTTTCACCATCACGACGTGTGTTCGCGCGATGTCGCGGTGGCCGAACTTCCGTGTGTGTTCGCGGACTTCGCGCGTCTATAAGTTGCCTAGTAACAAACGCAATCTGGCCGAGATGCGGACGCGCTGGCGGCAGGAAACTTATCTTTGTGTGCATGCGCCTCGTATACAACGTTATATATAAAGCTTGCAGGACAACTTGGTTGGCATTGCCTTTTCAGCGTGAGAAATACACGGTGTGAGCGTGTGAACTGGTTGAATTGCGTGTGTCTCACGGCCAATGCGTGAGACTTGAGAACCCTGTGTTTCAGAGCACAGATACTGGAAGAGGCTTAGGAAATAGGATCATCTTTTATGCAAATTTGTCTCAAGCACAAAATATCATTATACATATGTAATGACATGACTTTTTGATATAATGTTTTAGTTTTAAGCTTGCAATGTGCCAAAGCACTTACCTGTTTTGATAGTGTTTTACTATATCAAAGATTGGATTTTTTTTAATTGCTAATTTATTCATTTTATTTTATTTAAAAATACAAGTTTAATTGGGGGAAGTATAACTGAGAAGTAGTGATGGAAAGATTGGACCAACTCTCTTGTTAAAGGAGAACTCATCTAGGAGAACGGTAGATGTGCAAGATATTAATAAAAATTCAGCCAGCTCACATACCTGTATTTACTTCCTGTTTTCGTTCGAAGTCCACAGTAGTCAATTGTTGAGTTCGCGCGCGAATTATTAGTTACCAATGATCGCGCGCGCGAACTCGACAATTTTGACTACTGTGGACTTCGAACGAAAACAGGAAGTAAATACAGGTATGTGAGCTGGCTGAATTAACATCATTTTTATTAATATCTTGCACATCTACTGCAGTCAGATTGACCGTGGTCACTCTTAATAACACCACTCACATGGCTGTGCACTTGTAATGACATATTAAGGTTGTTAAGAGGCTAAAAGCAGGTTTAGAACTTGCCCCATTGAAGTCAACAGGGGGCCAATTTTAAAAAGAGGATAACACGGTGTAGGCAACACCGATTTTTGTCGTTTTTGTCTGTACTGACAGCACTCCAAATGTACAAAAAAATGAGCTCAATGTTAAAATTGACCGGAGTTCTCCTTTAAATCTCTTTCAGCAAAATGAACTCTTTATTAAAATCATTTTGTTCAATGAATGGGATTACAGGTTGCAATTTAAATTGCCAAATTCCCCATCCCCTGGTCACACATAATCTTTGATCATATTCCAAATAAGTAAATCATTATAATACAGCCAAAAGATACATTATGAGGAAACGCAAATGATTAGTTCGCCTCAAGAGTATTTCATTCATGACGTTACAGACGCTATGAACTAATCATTCATGAAAGAAGAACAATTACTACTAAAGAGACCTGAAAAAGGGCAACTAGGAAGTGAAAGTGTTTGTCAGAACAGATGTGTAATAAAACATGTCCCTCACGTAATTTGTTAAGCTATTTGACCTGGATGACCTGTAGCAGCATATCATTACAATGTTTTCAGATGCCTATGAAACTAGAAATCTTTGAAGCAGGTTATCATAACTAAGATGCATAAGGACCAGAATTACAATTTGCATGTTGCAAACTTTCATTTACATATTGTAATTAACATGTATATGTATTTTTTTATTTAATTTTTATGTTTTGTACAATGTTATTTCCTCAAAAATACTGCTATTTTTTTAAATGACAACATAATGATATACTGTTAAAATGTTTGGGGTAAAAAAATCCTTTTTGAGAAAAAAAAAACCTTTTTGGAACAGTTTTTAAAAATACTGTTATTTAGCAAGGATGCGTTGAATTTAAAAAGCAAATACATTTATAATATTAAATATATATATAGCCTATATATATTTATAAAAAAAACACTGTACATTTTTTCATCTGTTCATCAACTGTCTATTCAAAACTTTTTTTCCCCACAAAAATGTTAAGTAGCACAACTGGTTTCAACATTGATAATAAGAATTGTTTCTTGAGCAGCAAATCAGCATATTCTAATGATTTCTGAAGGATTATGTGAGACTGAAGACTGGAGTAATGAATGCTGAAAATTCAGCTTTGCCATCGCAGGAATAAATTACATTTTTAAATGTATTAAAATAGAAAACAGTTATATATTCTAATAATAAATAAATACCGCCTTGGTGAGCATGAGAGACTTAATCATGTAAAAAGGAAAAAAAATCTAACAGACCCAAACTTTTGAACAATAGTTAATATATATATATATATATATATATATATATATATATACTGTATACATTTATTATTATTATTATTACATAATCATTGGTTACAGGTAGTATAGGCAATTTTTTTAAAACACTTTTTGTTATACTGGTTGAAACTCCCTGAAGCACTCTGAAGGAAGGGTGGGATCTCATGCATTAAAATCTAGCTTGCTATTACTAGCCTGTCTGAAATTGCCCATAGACATAATAAATACATAGACGCCCTATTGGCCGCTGGAGCGTACGTCAACGGCGCCGCCATATTGGGGATGGCAACTTTCCCATACCTCTCATACCGGGAATTGAGAAAAATGCCTGTTTTGTGCGCTGCTTGGGACTGTTCAAATCGCCGCACAATTTAAAACAGCTTTCGAGGAATTACCTTTCACAAGCAAGACTGAGCGTTTGTTTTTGGTTGTATTTGGTCATGATTTAATTAGTAATAGTAACGTTCAGAGGATACATTTAAAAATACTACTGTTATTGTGTCACGAAATGTAGTTTTAATAGTTTTTCAGTCGACAATGTAGTTGTTTAAAGCTCAAATATGTGGTTTGTTTATAAAGATAGTGCCTATTTAAAAATTTGATCTGACGCTTTCGGAGTTGTAAGATGCTATCACCGGGGCTCAGCGCTCGTCTACCCCGCCTGGAACAGCCGTACCTCGGCCAGTGCTTCTGAAGTTTTGCCGCTGGCTCGGATGTCTGTAGTCTAGTGGTTAAACATAAGATATAATTCGTCTTGTGTAACGGGCGATCTTTGGTCTCATTAATCTATAAATGGTTCCCTGGTAAATCGTTTTGGCTGAGGGCAAAGTGAAGTTTCATAACTTTATATTTAGGCTATTTTAACGTTGTATCCTGCAGCTGTATGTTTGACTGAAGCTACTTCTGTTATAATGGCTATTACTGATCAATAAAACTGAAATTTAACAAAAAAGAGTTAAATATTAAAGTCACTATTTAACTTATTTTTTTATTGTGTATTCTGTAATTGATATTTCTTATTCTATTGCTATAGTACTATTAATAAACTATATGCTATTATCAATATTTTTATGATTGTATTATTGTACTTATGATATTATATAATTATACTATTCATTACTATTTTATTTGCTGTATACTATTTGTTTATTTTATTGACTATTTACTATTACTTCTCACTTTATGTTTACTATTTGCATTGCACTATAGTTGTACCATAACATTATCATGTATGTATTATCATATGTATTATCATAAAGGATCCATCAGTTATCTTTGTTATTGCTAAAATCTGGTCAATCACAGAAAATCACACTTTTTCCACAATAAGAAAACTTATATCTCAGTATGGGGGTCTTCACCATTCTTATCCAAGAATAAAAAGCCAAATACATGACAAGCCTGAGCTTTGACCATTCTTTATAAAAAAAAAAATATTTTACAAGTCTAACTATCGAGATTTTAAATAACTAGAGATGGAACTTTTTGTACACCACATACAAACCACTGAAATCGGTTGATAAATGTAAAAACAGTTTGTTTTTATCCAGAAAAAACGCAGCTCACCCGTTTACTTACATTTGATTACAGTGCAGTCTTGCCCTCCGCAAAATGGCGGACCCGTTGACGTATCGCAGCAACGTTCCAAAGCGGCCAATAGGGTGTCTATGTATTTATTATGTCTATGAAATTGCCTACCCTACCTTTAACAGGGGGCATAGCATTGATCAGGGCAGTCAATGGCAAGTCAATATGTCTGTAGTGGAAGTCTACCTAGTGCTGAATCATAGTCTGATCAATGCTGACCACCTCGGGGCCAGAGATGACCCACAGACAGAGATGCCATCATGCCATTCGGTCTGATTCACTGTAGGCATCACTATAGCTGTGTAATCTTGGTTTTACTCCTCATGGATAGTGGTTATAAACTGCTTTGCAAGAGCCTTCGCTGAATTGAATAGCTGATATTCTTTAAGGATAAGAACCTCTTTTAGATGACGATCCATGATTTACATAGTCTTGCAAATATGTTGCATTTTAAACACTAGATGATAGGAAAACCAAGTTAACATCCTCTTGCTTCAGTCAAGACTTTTTGACTTCAGTTGTCCCGGTGGATGCACATTCCTGGACCTCAGGAGGAAAAGGACAGGTTTCCCAGCTGGCTCTTCCCCAGCAGGATTGCCCTTTGCTGGGCCTTGCTCTGTCTGCCTGAGCCTGGAGGGGTTAAAAATAGCCCAAGCCCTGGATCCCGGACAGGGCGGATATTTGGCCTGATATAGCAATGGGAGACACGTTAACGGCCGCAGTTGTCAGTCACAAAGCCAGGCGGGAAGTGAGACAAGACTGGAAAAGAAGAGGAGACAAGAGCCAAGAGGTCTACGCCTACGGGACACAGATTCTCTGTGACGCAGGGCAGGGATCAGAGAGAGCACATAAGAGATTATGTTCGGGACCTGAGGAGAAAGATAGACATGAAAGTTTGGGGGATTTTTGCATTAGCTGGATAGATGCTCTGATGCTGATAATTGAATGGGCTCCTGGGTACTACCTGAAGACTGAGGATAATGCAAACCCATAAAGCTAAGTGCATGTGAGGGAGTTGGAATCAATCTTCCGAAGAGCGATTTGATGTTCAGTGGTTTGTTATCACTGGAAAAGACACAGCAAGTGCGGAATCTATACGAAAGGTCCAGACATTGATGTAAAGTGTAGTGTTGTTTTTTGCAAAGCTTTGGGTCACTCTTTACCATGGGCAATGCGGCAATGTGTAGGGCGTGTGGTTCAGATAAAAGCCTGCGGACCATTGGAAGTGATCCATATCTGGACCATTGCTACAACTCTGTGGCAGATACCATGGTAAGGCAACCTTAATGGTTCAGTAGACATTTGTTGAGGGGATTTTCCTGCTAAAAAAACAAGACCAGCATATGTTGTTTGGGATGATGGAGTCAAAAACAGAACATTAAGAATCTTCTATTATTCTTTTAGTAAACATGGCAAGAGCAGTTAAGATCTCAATTAGAACATTCAACTTGTATGACTTTATTTCTTCGCTGGAACATAAAAGAAGATATTTTGAGAAATGGAAGGGGTTTTTGTTGTGTGTGCAATGGAAATCAATAGGTACTAAACTATTTGGTTACCAACATTCTTCAAAATATGTTCTTTTGTGTGACAGGTTTGGAACAATATGATGGTGAGTAAATGATAATATCTATCTATATATATATATATATTTGAGTGAACTATTTATTTAACTTGGAAATGTTTCAATAGGCTTCTTAGCTTAACCAGCAAGACTATTTGGTCAACTAGCGTCACCAGAAAGACCATGTTAATTGACTAGCTTCACCAAGATTTGGTCTGGCTGGTCTGACCAGCACCAAAGCAGCAATAACCAACAAAAACTGCTGGAAATATATATATTTTTTTCCAATTATTTTTGTATCAGTATTTTTAGACTTTTTAGCTGTTTAATTCATTTTTATGCTTGATTTTTATCAGCTTCTTCATTTAAGTACCTCAGGTAACATGATCATCACTAATGTAAAAGGCTTAATTAGTGTTATTCTTTTCTTTATTATTGTTCAAAAATGGTTTTTAGGTATGTATGTTTAACAGTTATCAACAGATTTTTCTTGCCCACATGAGCTCAAACAGTGGAGCATGTGTGCAGTTCATGAACGTCATGAACAAATGTATAGTTTCTGTTACCAATGGTTAAGTCTTATCCCACACATGTTAAAATGTGACCTCTCGACCTCAAAAGACGCAGAGGTCATGCCTCGAACATTTCGGTCAAGAGCCTGTGATGGCCTGACACATTAATGCTTCATGTTCTACATGACCTGAGAGGTACTGATTTATTTCCGGAGCTTGGCGCCAATTCTCTTTTCTTTTCTATTTTAAAATAAATAAATGCCTGAATGCTGGCTTGAACTGATAAAAAAAGCTTGACTTAGGCATATAAAAGAGGGTTCTGGAATTTTAAAGGTTTTAATATTTTCATAACAATACTGTCTGCATGTTTAAATACATTTTGTGCAGCTGTTGAAAGGTAATGTTGTACTGTCCCTGTCTACCTGCTCTTGTACATTGAGGATTTTGTGTTTGCATTGCACATGCAGGTTTTATTTGTCACAGTTGGGACTCTTATGTCAAGGGCTTTAAAAGGAACTGCTCTATAGTAGTACAAACCAACACTTGTTCGCTGATTGATGCCAAATCTGAAATTTGATCTTAGCATTAATTTTCTTCTTCGCATGGCAAGACTTTCAGTGCATAACCATACACACATTCAGATCTCTCTCTCTCTCTCTCTCTCTCTCTCTCTCTCTCTCTCTCTCTCTCTCTCTCTCTCTCTCTCTCTCTCTCTCTCTCTCTCTCTCTCTCTCTCTCTCTCTCTCTCTCTCTCTCTCTCTCTCTCTCTCTCTCTCTCTCTCTCTCTCCTCTGTGTGTGTGTGTGTGTGTCATGTCAGCTGCCTTCGTTCTGTTTTGCTGTCTATATTTAGCAGTCACAGTCAAACACAATTCTGATAAAAGGAGATACCTACACCCACTAAAATGATAAATTTCACATACATGCTGAGACATAAACGCATAGTATAAACTTTATGAATCCTGACAAATACTTGTTCAAAAGTTTGGGGTTGTATGAACTTTTTTTATGTTTTAAAAAAAAAAAGTCTCTTATGCTCACTTCAAAATGACAGGAAAACTGTAATATTATTACAATTTAAAATAATAGTTTTTCTATTATAATATTTTAAAATGTAATATATTCCTGTGATGCAATTCTGAATTTTCAGCATCATTACTCCAGTCTTCAGAGTCACATGATCCTTCAGAAACCATTCTGATTTGCTGCTCAAATTAGTTGGATTCATTGATGAATAGAATGTAACAATGTAAAAGTCTTTACTGTCACTTTTGATCAGTTTAATGCTTATTCATTTCTTTTAAAAGAATCTTACTGACCCCACATTTTTAAATGGTAATGTACATTATCAGAAGGACCATCCTTATTAGAAAAATTCAGATCTCACCCTATGTCATATTATGCAAGTAAAATGCGTTGCATTGATTTTGATCACTTGAATATTGCATTGTAATATCTCAATGTTTTACCAGAGCTGGGCTGATGTTTCTTAATATATATATATATTTTTTTATGGTGTGTTGTTTCTACAGTCGGACAGTAACACCAGCTTCCTGAGAGCAGCCAGAGCAGGAAATGTTGAAAAGGTGCTGGAGTTCCTCAAGAGCGGACAGGACATTTCTACATGCAACCAGGTAACTTGTTCCATGAACCAGGATTTCAGTGTTACAAAAAACAAGAAATGAATGCAATGTTTTCTCATCGGTTTCCTCAGCCTTAATTTACACTTATTTAAAGGCTGGCTTTGGAGACGATCTGAAGGGAGGGTGGGATCTTATGCTTTCAAAGCTAGCTTGCTATTGCTAGCCTCTCCGAAATTGCAGACACTACCTTTAATTCAAATAAATGCAACATTTGGAAGTTTTGCACATTGTTACAGTTCACTCAATTTTTACATTATGTATTTATATTAATATAATATAATCTATGGAGATAAAATATGTTGGGTAATGCTGAATTTTAAGGCCTATGTTTTCCAAGAAACAGGTCTTTTTTCTAGCTTAAGAGACATATTCTGACAACTCTGTGTTAGCTATGCACTCTTTAGAAAGTCCTAGTAGATTGTTCTTTGTGAGGGAAGGATAATCCTGATTATTAGAAATGCGCCTGCTTTTTTAGCACACATTGCTTTATGATGTTAGAGAGCCATACTGATTCCTGACAAATGCTGCATTGCCATCAGGACATCATCAGCTAGTTCTCTGCCAGGCAGTTCTTTCTAGTATATCAAAGGCTTTTTACTCATGCGTGTCTCTGGCAGCTGTTCACACTCCCGACCTTCTGTACCTTCTGCATAACCACTGTCACAGCAACACTGTGTTCAACCATTCCATGCAAACTACCCCTGGCATAATAACAATGCACGGATATCACCAAATATATTGAAGGCAAATGGATCTTTAATCTTAAAACGTGTGAAGTCAATACGGAACTGAAAATCAAACAGTCCTAAAATGCAAAAATGCACGTAAAATAAAACTTTATCCAGTCAGATATATGATAAAGCTAACTTTTATCAACGAACAGAAGATACCACATGCAATTACCATTCAACGAGGTTTGGCACAGGCGTGAACTACAAAATTGCCAAACAATAATCTTCATGGCACTGGTTTTTAGCAGGGTGTGCCAAATAAATATGATGCAAATGTAGTACTGAGTCATTATACTAGCAAACAAATACCCAGAAACCATGACCAACCCAGGGGAAAAAAGAGAAAGTACCTTAATATTACACTAACACTGGTTTAACAAGACTGTAGAATAAATGTAGAAGGCATGATTCACTAAGTTTGACAGTTTGTCCAAATTGAATAGCATATCTGCTGATTTATGATGAAAAGTTTGATTGTCTTTTTTTTTCTTTTTTTTTTTTGATTAAATGCAACGGGGTGTGATATTTTGTTATCAATGGCATTAAAAATAATAAAATACATTGTGGCTTGACTATCAAAATATGTTTTGGAATTTAAAATAGCAAAATGTATTAATGGAAGTGATGGTGACGGGTCTAATTAATCTAACATAATTTAATTTTATTCCAATGTTCAATTAGCCTGGGAAAACCCAGACAACTTCTGGCAAATTTAGATTTGCTCTGAAAGTTAGTCTGGCAAAGAGCTCATTCAAACCCATTTCCAATCCGCCGAAATCGCGGCACCAATCAGAAACGTTGGGGCGGGCTTTACACGATGACGACAGCGCTGGGATTTTGAAGCAGATTTTGTAGCCTACATTACAAAGATGGATGCCGCCATCGAACATCACTCGTTCGAATCAGCTATCACGTCTGTTTTAAGCGATTTGAACGTTTCGTTTTTGTTAAAAACCGAGCAAAGAACAACACTCTGCATACGTCACCTCCTTCATCGCTCTGATTGGTCTATCCGCGACGTCCGTTGGTGACGCCCCTCTGGAAAGGATTTGTCTATGACGCTTTGCCAGACCATAACTCAGTTACAACTGAGAATGGTCTGGTTTTAACCAGGCTAATGTTCAATTAAAATGGACTGAAATGACATCAGAGACAAATGTCATAGGGTTGCTGGGACCCCTTTATTATGTAGTGGGCTGAATTTGCCATTGCTACAAAGTATAATAGTTTTTTCCATGACATTTATCCATCATGATGTCATATGGAGTCGCCAGTAATGAGCATGTCAGCACAACAATGGACAAGCATTCCATGTTCTTTTCTCTAGAGTCCACTCTTCTAATCCTCACTGAGTGATATTGCAACATAATCTGCCCATGTTTTATCTGGGTTTTTTCTCTTTCCACTCTTTCACCGGAATCCCTCTCTCCGGATGCAAAAACTCATCCAGCTTTCATTATCTAAATAAATGAGATTAGAGTCTAGTTAATTCTCTCTGCTCTTACTGATGTGTCTGAATGTTAGCCACACTGCGTTACACAAGAGCTGTCATGATTTACCCATCAAACACGGAATGAGGTGCATTAGTAAATTAAGACAGGTGGCGATGTCTGAATTAGGGGAATGCTTATTTACAGCTCGAGAAAAAGAGATTAAACACTGAAATTCCACGTTTAATATGCAAGCATGATTTATTAATAGCATAAGTGACTTTGACATGATATAATGAAAATGACACATTTTACAATGGTTAAAATTCGCAACAATCTTTTTCTGATCATTGCACTGAAATAGAAAAAAGGCTGTTGCCAAATGTGATGAGAATAGACACAAAACACACAACATAAAACAAAATAAAACATAAAACAAAATAAACCAAGACTATATATATATTTCAAACTTTCTAATATATTTAACATATTAACCATAATCTTTAATCTTTTAATTAATCGTCTTAATTTTTTTTTCTAGAGCTATACATAACAATTTCCTATATTTAGTAATCAATCTAGAAAAAGCATATGAGTGATCTATTAGTGTAGAGTATAGGAACCATTTTGATTCTAGTATTACCCTTGTCAAATTTTCCTGCTATCTATCATTTGCACTAATAGAAAATGTATTAATCATGTCCCCCTTTGCACTTAGAATGGACTCAATGCGCTCCATCTAGCAGCCAAAGAGGGTCACGTGGGGCTGGTGGAGGAACTTCTGGAGAGGGGTGCGACCGTGGACTCTTCAACCAAGGTTAAGCACACATATACACTCACAAATTGGAGTGAGGGGTATGTGATTCCCAAATGGCTAGAGAGAGTAAATCTGATGGAATGTTAGTCATCCAGCACTGTGATATGATGAGTACAGTTGGACTCTGTTGACTCCTGTCATCTGACACACAGCCACAGGGCCAAACAGACACACCCACACAAGCCAGGAACTATAAACAAATGACCAGCAATCACACTGACAGCGGAGAGCTCTATACTGCAAGGACTTTTTTTTTTATTATGGACTAGATTCATAAAAGTCCTTTTTGCCTGATAAGATTTCTGTTATTTCATGCAAGCAGTGAGTGAATCAGGTCAAATGTCCCCTAAAGGTCCCCATTGGCAAATAGCTTTTCTTGTTTCAAGCACAAACTTCTCTGAATTGTTTTAGATTTGTGCAAGAAAATTTGATATTTTCTTTGAAAATCTCGTGATATCTAATGCAATTCTGCTTCTGAAGTAAAAGTTTCGATATCTTATTATAGATTTTTTTTTTTTAAATAATTTGTTGGGATATTTTGACTGTAAATCAAACCCACAAGACTAATTAATAATTTTTTCCAGCTTTTTTCAGTGTCGACCCTTTGTGATTCACACAAGTATGAACATACACGCACGCAAACAAGTGCACAATTAATATGTATCTCCCTTTCCTCTTCAGAAAGGGAACACTGCGTTACACATTGCTTGTCTGGCTGGGCAGAAAGAGGTTGCGAAGCTGTTGGTGAAAAGAGGAGCAGATGTAAACTCCCAATCGCAGGCGAGAAAAGCATAAATTATATAAATTATAATAATAATATACAATCAAATAATAATTCATTTAATTTAAGTATTATTTTATAAATTGTTATAATATTAAGCTTTACAGTACCTGTATGTTACTACAGAATGGCTTCAGTCCACTGTATATGGCTGCTCAAGAGAATCACCTGGATGTTGTGCGATATCTTCTGGAAAATGGTGGAAACCAGAGCACAGCCACAGAGGTTTGTGATTGCGAGTGTTGTGTGTGTGTGTGTGTGTGTGTGTGTGTGTGTGTGTGTGTGTGTGTGTGTTTCTAATCTTTGCAACATGTCCATACAAGTATATCTGTGTCTCTTAAAGAGAACCTATTATGCTTTTCTTTTTTTACATTTTCAACTTTCTTTAGTGTGTAATGTGGCTGTTTGAGCATGAAAAAGGTCTGCAAAGTTACAAAGTCCACTCCAAAGTGAGTTATTCTCGATATCAGTAAGCACTTTTACTAAACTCCCTGAAACGCCTTGATTGTAGTCTTGAGTTTTCTTCCGCGTATACGAACTCATAATATCGCTCATTTGAATAATTTCCACCTTAGGCATATGCAAAAAAAGGAGGTCTGATTGAGTTAGTAGTGTGTTGAAACTCGTGGTTATAGTAAGGGGTCGTAACATTTCCGAAACACGCTCAAAGCAGTTGAGCAATCCCAACCCACTGGTCCAGCCGACCAATCAGAGCCCATTGTGCTTTTCGGAAGGAGGGGCTTCATGGAGACAGAAGCTAAACAGAGCGTTACTGACAGAGTGGGAAAGAGGTGCTGCAACAATATAAAACGTGATTTATTATTATTTTATTTATATTTTTACATTCAAGCATGAAAAACTATTAAAGTAGACCCCAAAAACAAAATCAAGACTTTGTAAAAGGGCATAATAGGTCTTCTTTAAAAGAGGAGAGCATTTACATATTACACATAGACTGTGATTTTCATGACTTGCTTCTTTTCTTTGACTACATATATGATATTGTTTATCAAACATGCAAGGTAAAGACTGTCTAAAACTGGACGGAAGTGAAATCTCAATCTTGAATGATTTGAAATCATATTCATCACTGCTAGAAAATCCAACTAATAGCATCAGATGGTTTATGGTTTCTTACCTGTTTGTTTGCTGGTTCAAGCTGGTCTAGGTGGTTGATCAGCTGGACTACTAGCCACTGGACTTGTTTTAACATGCATATTGGTAAAGCTGGTTATGGTTGTTGTGTCTGAACAAAGAGATGGTTCTGTTTGTTAATCTCTGTCTATCTGTTCTCTCCATTTCTAGGATGGCTTCACTCCTCTGGCCATTGCTCTGCAGCAGGGTCATAATCAGGTGGTCTCTCTGCTCCTGGAACATGACACGAAAGGTAAAGTCCGCCTGCCTGCTCTCCACATCGCGGCCCGCAAAGATGACACCAAATCTGCTGCTTTGCTGCTCCAGAACGACCATAATGCTGATGTCCAGTCCAAGGTAAGAAAGTAAAGGAGTGGAGAATTCATGTTCATACTATATGGTTTTTAGACATGTTTGTAATACCATGGTTTTACGGATGGTAATACAATTTTTAGACACGGTGTTAGAGGTCTGCGCAAGATGGATTTTTCAATTCCGCCCCATATAGAAAATGATATCTGGCACAGTTGTGGCCCACATCTCCCACATTCTTCTGGCCCCTTTGATGACTCAACCTAAGTGTGGCTGGCGATAGCATTAATGGACTGCATTTATATAGCACTTTAACAGACTCAATGGCCACCAAAGCGCTTTACATTTTGCCTCACATTCACCCATTCACTCACTCATTCATACACCGACGGCGGTGTCAGCCATCCAGCTCGTCGGGAGCAGCTTGGGTTAGGTGTCTTGCTCATGGACACCTCGACACTTGATAAAACCGGGGTAGAACCGGAGATTGAACCACCAACCTTCCGGGTTGTAGACAACCTACATGAACCACTGAGCCACTGTCGCCCTGGTTCTAGCATACATTTACGGGCTTCATCTGGGCCAACTATGGCACATATGGCTCAGTTCTGGTAGTGGAAAAGGTCGCCACATCTGGGCCACACACACACACACGCCCGAAACTATCACGTTTTGTCCAATTCCCGCTCGCAAAAGCCCGTCGGAAGAGGTCTACACAGATTTTTCAGTGCTGGTCCGGTTAGATCTGTCTCGTTTCGTGGCTATTTTTACAATTTCCACACACACAAAGCTTCAGATCTCCAGTGACAGATTTTTGCTTGCTGTTATTATCAGATAATTATATTTTGCGGTAGCCCACGTGTCATTTCTTCCTCCCGCATCTCGCGCACATATTGCTATCTTCCCTCCCGCATCCACACTCAGCAATTCAAAACTTGTCCCGCGGATTGCAGACCTCTACATGGTGTCATAAGTATTCTTTGAAAATTTAGCATAGTAATGGTGTTTTTTTTCATTTAGTACATGTACAGTATTGTTGTACCATGGTGTTCTTTGAACTTTACCCCTGGTTTCACAGACAAAGCTTAAGCCTAGTCCCAGACTAAAATGCATGTCTGAGCTGTTTTAACTGAAAGCAACTTGCATTGGTATATCTTAAAATATGACAGAGCCATTTATTCATCTCAACATGCACACCAGTAATGGTAAATGTAACCTAATTAAACTAAGGCCTAATTCTTGCTTAATCTAAACCCTGTCTGTGAAACCAGGACTTGTATATCAATATGGTAATCATATTTTTAATGTCACTGTGCTCAATTATTTGAAAAGGATTTATTTATTAATTAATTAGTATTGTCACAGATATTTTCATTGAGGTTTTTTAAGCTATTGAGATTGATATTAGAATCTCAATAGCTTAATTTTTTTTTCCTTCACTGAATTATAGTCATGCTTTTGGATTGCTCCTTTTAAGATAAAAATCTTTAAAAAGCCATATTAATAAAAATACCATGTTTTTTCCTCAGATGATGGTCAACAGGACTACAGAGGTATTAAGATTCTCAACAGAATCCTGCATTCGTCTTGACACTTGTAAAGCCTAATGTGCTACTTGACATTGAATCTTTTTTTTACAGTGCATGGGAAGAGTAAAGTCTTGTCCCTTTAAATGTAGTGCATGACACATTGTTGTTTTTATTTTAGTGCAACACTGTTTTCTCAATGTTTGGGTGTTTCTTGCTCATCGTGACGTTTTGAGCAGGAAATAGGGGTTCATTATGTTATTTAATACCACTTATGATTTTACTAACAGGCTAAACAGACGTTTAACTCTTAATTGTGCATGTGAACTCATGCTGTCACTCTCACTGTCTGTGTAGAAGTCTCTCGGTCACATTTTGCTGCACCTTTTTGTTAATTCTGTTTTTTAAATTGCACCATGTCTGTCAGAATGGAAAGGTAAGAAAACAATGGCACCATCAAACAAACTCAGTAAGACAGACAATGCCAATTTCCTATCAATACATTCATCTTTAGTAATATGTAGTGAGTAGTTGCTGACTAACATTTGTTCAGATATTTTGTTCATCATCTTTTTTTTTCTTTCATTGTCACTGAGAAACTTCTCATCTCTCTCTCGCATGACACTGGGAATGTGCTTGTATATTATAACATGTACAAATCGAATCTTTCCGTTTCTTATTTCATTTTAAGTTTTTACTTTTCATTCACTCTAGTGCATGGTGTAGTGGGATCCATTGGTAGCAGATGAGAATCCAGACACTTCTTTTACTTTGCCATTCTTTTCTTTCTGTTAAGTTTTTGCACAAATGTGATGATTCATTGGAATGCTGCATGGAAGATCATGGATGATGGATGTTGATGGATGATGGATTTGCACTAGCAAACTTAACTTCATTCTGTTTTCCTCTTTCCCTTCTTTTACCCCAATACTATTCCATTGTCTAACAGAGTGGCTTCACTCCTCTGCATATTGCTGCTCACTACGGTAATGTTAATGTGGCCACGCTGCTGCTCAACAGAGGGGCGGCTGTAGACTTCACAGCCAGGGTACGATCTAAAACCTAAAAAAAGTTATATTGTCTATTAGCATACTTTTTGTGATTCTACACCTCATACAAATAACATACATGGTCCAAGTCCTTTTGCCTTACTCAATGTACTAGGATTTTGGATGCATTACTTACAATTAGGCAAATTATTATATTAAACAGTTTCACAGACAGGGCTTAGATTACGCCAGGATTAGGCCTTGGTTCAATTAGGACATTTAAGTAGCTTTTATAAATATGCCTTAGGTGTGCATCAAAACAATGGCAATGACATATTTAAAGACATTAAAACAGCTCAAAAATGCATTTTAGTCTGGAACTACTTAAGCCTCGTCTGTGAAAAAGTTGGAAAGTCCTCTTGCTGTAAGAAACGGACTGATGTTTAAGATGTTATTCACAGAAATCCCACAGTTATAATTTTTTGGTAAACTATCCTTCTACAGGGAAATTTTTAGCAGTAGGATTTATCTATCCTAAAAGATGTACTGTTTTGTTTAGAATGGTATAACCCCTCTCCATGTGGCCTCCAAACGAGGAAATACCAACATGATTGATCTGCTGCTAGATAGGGGGTCTCAGATTGATGCCAAGACCAGGGTGAGTATCAATACTGTAGTTCCATCAAAATGCTGTAAAACAAGCGCCCTCTACCTCTACTGTTAACAGCAGTTTAGAGAAACAATTATTAAATCTACTTCAATATATGAAATTAATAGCATTTTTTGTGAGCAATGCATTACGATTGCCGATTCATACTGTTTTGGGCTAGGGTCACCAAACTCGGTCCCGGAGGGCCGCTGTTCCTGCAGAGTTTAGGTCCAAAAAGGCTCTAATGCACCTGCTTGAAAGTTTCTAGTATGCCTAGTGAGACTTTGAGCTGGTTCAGGTGTGTTTATTTGTGGTTGGAGCTAAACTCTGCAGGACAGCGGCCCTCCAGGACCGAGTTTGGTGACCCCTGGTTTGTGTGAGTTTTTGTATATGCTGTTTGACTGTTTTTATCTTCTCTCTGTTGAACAGGATGGTCTAACACCTCTGCACTGTGCAGCCAGAAGTGGACACGACACTGCAGTGGAAATACTGCTTGAAAAAGGAGCTCCCATACTGGCACGGACCAAGGTACATGGAACCATACGTTTCTAAGTGCTTCCTAAAAACTGCTAATGTCTAACTGCTCAATTTAGGTCCCCACTGTGGCACTAGTCCCCATGAGTCAGTGTGCATTCAGGTTCAAGTCACACACACACACACACACACACACACACACACACACACACACACACACACACACACATCGTCTTTACTGTAATCAATTTAATGCATCCTTGCTTGATAAAGGTAATAATGTCCTTTAAAAAACTAAAAGTAGTGTGCTATCACTATGGTATATGAATATGGTAATCATATAATATACTTGTCTCATCATCTCATAGTATTACTGCTCCATGGTGCCACCACAGCACTTTTTGATCTGAAGCTGATCTGTTTTTTTCTCTCTCTGTATTTCACCACACACAGAACGGACTGTCTCCGCTGCACATGTCTGCTCAGGGCGATCACGTCGAGTGTGTGAAACACCTGCTGCAACACAAGGCACCGGTTGATGATGTAACACTGGACTACCTGACCGCCCTTCATGTTGCTGCCCACTGTGGTCACTACAGAGTCACAAAATTACTGCTGGATAAGAAAGCAAATCCTAATGCTAGAGCACTGGTAATTCTTTGTCTTTAAAAGATGGTAAAATGAATGTGGATCGTGTCAATCAGCATTAGTATGTTTCCATCCACTTATTTTTATGCAAATTTTGGTTTATCACATTTTAAAAAAACTGGATGGAAATGCCATAAAATGAAAAAAAACTCCATAAAATAAATATGCGCTCATAATTTTTTTGTTTAATTTTTAAAATCTCCTGCTTCAAATACAATAAATAACTTGTTACTGTTGTGCTGGGTCAGTAATTACTGGGGAATTGTCAGAAGTTAGTTTTATTTAATTTGATTTAATTACCAAAATTAGTTATGCCCAAATTAATGCACAAAAAAATTAAAGATATGAAGAGCAAGAGCAAGAGAGCTGTTTTCACGAATATGAGCATGATTTCAAACATGATATTGATTTTATAAATGTCATGACAGTTGAATAAATGATTCCGTGACACACTCATTAAGTGATTTGACACCACCTACTGGTGGTTTAAGTATAATTTCCATCATATTTCTATATTCAAAATTTTATTTTCTCAACAATATTTATGTAGGTGTATTTGGACCAATTCAGGTGCAACTTCTGTGCCACCTCTGCAGTGCAAAGATTAGTTTTGTTTTTAGTGATTTAATTTGATTGGTAACAGCTCTATATAATGTCTCATTATTTTAATTGTATTTATTGATTAAATGTAAGACATTTCTCAGACAGTAAATGTGGATCTTTTAGATAAATTTCAGGAGTGCTGGTCTTGGTCTTGGTCTTGATTCGGTCTCGCCCTGCCTTGGTCTTGTCTTGGTCCCAACCCCTCAAAATCTTGTTCTTGTCTTGATCTCAACACACTCTGGACTTGGTCTCGGTTTAGGTGGTCTCCACTACAACATTTCCCAAATGTTTTATGCGATATTCCAAATTAGTGCATAGGTTAAATGAGCAACTTTGGATTGAAACATAGCTAGTGATGTATTTAAATATGTTTATGTTATTTTCAGAATGGCTTTACTCCTCTGCATATTGCCTGCAAGAAGAACAGAGTGAAAGTCATGGAACTGCTGGTTAAATACGGCGCCTCAATCCAAGCCATCACTGAGGTGAGAGTCTTGGTAGTATGTGACTGTGCCCTACTTGGATAATATCTAATTTACCATGTAACTTTAATTATTTAGAGTTTAATAATTAAATTTTGTAGAGTCTAATTATTACCGTAGCTCAATCAGTAGAACGTGGCACTAACAATGCCAAAGTCATGGGTTTGATTCCCAGAGAATGCATGAACTGCAAAAAATATATACATTGAATTCAATGTAAATCACTTACAATTAAAGTGTCCGCCAAAGTAATATGAATGCAAATAAATAAGAGTGGATTTCATATGCTTACATTTATTGGAGATTAGTTCCTCTTGTTGTCCTGCTGACTCGAGCGCTGCTTGCTCATTCATTGCTCAGTATTTTAGCTCCTGTATCTCACTCTCCTCTCTTTCTCCCTAGTCCGGCCTGACACCAATCCATGTTTCAGCATTTATGGGGCACCTCAATATCGTCCTCCTGCTGCTACAGAATGGAGCATCACCTGATGTCTGTAATATTGTGAGTACATAATCATCATGATGGACATTTTGTAGCATATATTTCTTAATATTTCTTGTAGGGGTGAGCGATATTGATATTGAAAAGGGTGATTTTCTGGAATTTTGTCGAAATGTGTTTTTGTGCTGTGGTACCTTGGCTAGTTTAGGCCTTTGTGGAGCTTACTCCCAAATCTTTTTATTTTCTTCATATTCTGTATGGTGGTTAGTTGACAGCTGTGACACAAATTGACTTTTCCATCAAGGGGACATTCCTTCCAGGGACATTTTTAACTTTTTAAAAAAAAATTTGCCTTATTAAATGCGTAATCTTTTATGACAAATTCCTAGATTTAATCAATAAATTCAATTAGAATAATAAGACACTATAGGGCTGTTACCAGTCAAATTAAATCAAAATCAACAAAATCTATTTTTTTTGCACTGCATAAATGAAACAGAACCTGCATCACTCTCAAGTAGCAGATAGATGTATTTACATCAGACATCACACATTAATGTATTTACACTGCAAATACTATTGCATAATAATATTGTGAGATTGTTTAAAAAAAATTAAATGTGAAAATTAAAATATGAAATAATAAAAAAATGAAATTATATTTTAAAAAATGAAACTTGAACCAAAAGATTAATTCAGTAATGAAACACTGCTTTGTCTGTCTGTCTATTCTATTTATTATAAGAACATTTTGCTAACGTTCACATTAAGTTATGAAAATGTTCCTTGAACATTCAGTTTTTTTAATATTTATAAAAAAAAGCTCTTGGTTATACAAACGTTAAGCATTGAACATTCAATTTTACAATGCTTCAAACATTATGGGTATGTTACTTCTGAAAGTTCTCTGAACGTTCTAGAATAAGTAGTAACATTTAAAAAACATTATATGAACATCCAACTAAAACTTTTCAGAAAAAATGTATAAACAATGTTTTTGTGTTAACATTTTTAGAGAATTATTAAAGCTCAGAGATGCCCAGTGGTTCTGCTCTGTTTTGTAACTATTTCCGCTGCTGCGTTCTAAAAGGCTTCATCACACAGTGAATGCGTGGACTCTGAAAATTTTTTTTGTGAAGTGAGTGACATACTCGATAATGCCAGCTCGCACATCATTAATACAACAATCACAATATTATCATAGACGATACGTATCGCACACCCTAGTGTCAGAGCCGTGGATTAGCTGATGCTTTGGCACATTGTGGTGCTTATGCTTGCGGTATCAGCTTGCAACATTTTGAAGTTCTCGAAATCATTTCCTTTGTTCTCTCCTCTAAATGAAGTAAAAGGCCTACACAGCATTGCATCTCCTGTATTACTGACTGTGTTTGTCCTCAGCGTGGTGAGACTGCATTGCACATGGCTGCAAGGGCAGGACAGATGGAGGTGGTGCGATGTTTGCTAAGGAACGGCGCTCTGGTGGATGCCATGGCCAGAGTGAGTCAATAAAAACACTTACCGAAGAAAGCGAAAATACAGATATTAATGACTACAAATAGAGATTTAAACACATCCTATATCTGTATTTCTCTCACTCTTTCTATCTGATTTCTCCCTCCAGGAGGATCAGACACCCCTTCACATTGCGTCTCGCCTGGGTCAGACAGAGATCGTGCAGCTGTTACTGCAGCACATGGCTCACCCTGATGCTTCCACCACTAATGGATACACACCTCTGCACATCTCCGCTCGTGAAGGGCAGGTGGAAACGGCTGAGGTGCTGCTGGAGGCCGGAGCGTCTCACTCGCTCTCCACGAAGGTGCGACTGCAGGCATATCTGTGAAACAAATACAGACCCTCATTCAAATATATTATCAAATGTTATTTCACTAACCCTATTATTTTGTATATACACTACCATTCAAAAGTTTTTGGTCGATTTTTTCATGTCTTTGAAAGAAGTCTCTTATGCTCACCAAGGCTGCATTTATTTAATTAAAATATATAGTAAAAACCGTAATATTGTGAAATACATATTCAAATAACTTCAGCATAATTACTCTTCAGTTTCTTCAGTGTCACATGATCCATCATGAATCATTAAAATATGCTGATTTGATACTCAAGAAACATTTCTTCTTATTATTATTATAATTATTATTACCACACTTGAAAACGGTTGTGCTGCCTATTTTGCCTTTAAACCTTTTTTTTTTCAGGATTGTTTGATAAAGTAAAAAAGAACAGCATTTATTTGAAATCGAAATCTTTTGATCAGTTTACTGTGTCCTTGCTGAGTAAAAGTATTAATGTCTTTAAAAATATATATAAAATCTTACAGTCAGACCACGCATTTTTGTACAATAGTGTATGTATTTGTATGTATTTGACTAAAGATAAATATCCTTCCCCTTAATAGAAAGGTTTTACTCCTCTACATGTTGCTGCTAAGTATGGAAGCCTGGATGTGGCAAAACTCCTCCTACAGAAAAGAGCACTTCTTGATGATTCTGGAAAGGTGAAAGTCAAAACTTTAATCACCTACGCACTTCACTACTCGCATTCTGCTAACTTTCATTAGAGTATTAGTTGACTGTTAAGTCTTGCAAAGTCTATTGGGGAACCAAAATAAAGTGTTAGCAGATATTAAAGTCCCCCTGTAGTAATTTTATCCCTTAAAACTCATCTTTGATCACCAAAATGAAATATTTAAATGTTTTTTCCTTGAAAAAAAATTCTTCATGCCTTAAAATAGCTTGAATGTAACTCAACACCCTAGCCTCATTTAGAATATGTGGTTCTATGAATATGCAAATTAGCCCTGCCTCCACTCACTCACACCAGCTGTGTTGATTGGATACAAGGTAGTTTGTGACATCAGAAACACCAGCGATTTCAAACCGCGATTTTGAGGCTGTTTTTGGTTGGTTTACTGTTTTAAGGTGAAAATACTGAGCTTATGAATTTGCACATGGTTTGTCTTAAACACCACACAGACATATAAACAACATTAAAAGCTTGATTATTTATTTTTTTACTACAGGGGGACTTTAAGCAGACAGTCTAATTCTCTTATGACTGGTAGTTGACATGTAGTTGCAAAATTACTTATATTTAGTAGAATGCCAAAGGTGGACTATCAAAATAAAGTGCTACCAATTTTTATAAAAAAAAAAAAAAAAAGTTAATTATTGCCATTTTTCTTTCTATATTTGGCTTTCTGAAACAGTACGGTCTGACACCTCTGCATGTAGCTGCTCACTATGATAACCAGCAGGTGGCGATGATGCTCTTGGATAAAGGGGCCTCACCTCATGCTACTGCTAAGGTGCTAATCTTAAATTGATTGAAAAATGACTAAATATATGTCGCTGAATCCAGCAATACCACAAACATGTATACCTGATGGTTTGTGTTAATCTCTTTCTGTGCAGAATGGCTATACACCTCTCCACATTGCGTCGAAGAAGAACCAGACTCAGATTGCCTCTGCGCTGCTTCAGTATGGAGCAGAGACAAATGCATTGACCAAGCAGGGTGTGAGTCCGTTACACCTGGCATCTCAGGAGGGGCACACAGAGATGGCTTCCCTACTGCTGGAGAGGGGTGCACACGTCAATGCTGGCACTAGGGTGAGATCTAGAGCCATAGATATGTATATGTAGATGCCACATTCGACCACTCCAGACACGTCAAAGCGTCTGCCATCTTGGAACGGTTAACATGACAGTGTTCATCACTCACACTAACCAATCAATGAATTTTCATTGAAAATGTCACAGCATTGTGCAGCCTATGGCTGTAAAAACCACCGAGCTATACATTTGAGATGAAATGGGACATGTTCTGGATTCACGATATGGCAAGGCTAATGTGATTATTAAACTTCAAAAGGCTATGGATTAATTAAATCTGAAATAAATAAAATCTTATATATATATATAAGCCACATATATATATATATATACAATATATGTGTTTCTTGGCTTATATATATATATATATATATATATATATATATATATACACTCACCGGCCACTTTATTAGGTACCCCATGCTAGTAACGGGTTGGACCCCCTTTTGCCTTCAGAACTGCCTCAATTCTTTGTGGCATAGATTCAACAAGGTGCTGGAAGCATTCCTCAGGGAGTTTGGTCCATATTGACATGATGGCATCACACAGTTGCCGCAGATTTGTCGGCTGCACATCCATGATGCGAATCTCCCGTTCCACCACATCCCAAAGATGCTCTATTGGGTTGAGATCTGGTGACTGTGGAGGCCATTTTAGTACAGTGAACTCATTGTCATGTTCAAGAAACCAATTTGAAATGATTAGAGCTTTGTGACATGGTGGAAGTAGCCATCAGAGGATGGGTACATGGTGGCCATAAAGGGATGGACATGGTCAGAAACAATGCTCAGGTAGGCCGTGGCATTTAAACGATGCCCAATTGGCACTAAGGGGCCTAAAGTGTGCCAGGAAAACATCCCCCACACCATTACACCACCACCACCAGCCTGCACAGTGGTAACAAGGCATGATGGTTCCATGTTCTCATTCTGTTTACGCCAAATTCTGACTCTAACATCTGAATGTCTCAACAGAAATCGAGACTCATCAGACCAGGCAACATTTTTCCAGTCTTCAACTGTTCAATTTTGGTGAGCTCTTGTAAATTGTAGCCTCTTTTTCCTATTTGTAGTGGAGATGAGTGGTACCCGGTGGAGTCTTCTGCTGTTGTAGCCCATCCGCCTCAAGGTTGTGCGTGTTGTGGCTTCACAAATGCTTTGCTGCATACCTCGGTTGTAACGAGTGGTTATTTCAGTCACTGTTGCCCTTCTATCAGCTCGAACCAGTCTGGCCATTCTCCTCTGACCTCTGGCATCAACAAGGCATTTCCGCCCACAGAACTGCCGCTCACTGGATGTTTTTTCTTTTTCGGACCATTCTCTGTAAACCCTAGAGATGGTTGTGCGTGAAAATCCCAGTAGATTAGCAGTTTCTGAAATACTCAGACCAGCCCTTCTGGCACCAACAATCATGCCACGTTCAAAGTCACTCAAATCACCTTTCTTCCCCATACTGATGCTCGGTTTGAACTGCAGGAGATTGTCTTGACCATGTCTACATGCCTAAATGCACTGAGTTGCCGCCATGTGATTGGCTGCTTAGAAATTAAGTGTTAACGAGCAGTTGGACAGGTGTACCTAATAAAGTGGCCGGTGAGTGTATATATATATATTTAATTTTAAAAATCCTTCAGTGATACCCTGAACTTATTTACCATATGTTTTTCATCCAAACTGACTATTATAAATGTTGAGTTGACACTAGCTATGTTTACATGGACAGTTTTTGTTTTAATCAGAATTAAATCACACATGAACGCTAAATTAAGTGATCGGGTTGATGTGCACGTTTATAACACACAATCTTCAAATGGGATTTGATCTTTTGACATGAGCACACTGCACGAATATACAGAGTATTCCGCTGTTGGCGCATACAAATCATCATCTTGCCATCGCTTCTTTTCTTTGTTTTAAAAAGCAGACTTAATATTTATCTATTTCGGGTCCTGATTGGGAGACGACGAGCACATGAAGCTTTGAGCTGTGCTGCTTGTTTTTATCAAGCTGTAAAAACGCCATTTCCCGTGCCCAAAACAACACATCTGTGGATGAGAGTCCTAAGCAAGGACTACTGGGACAACATTGTCCTGCAGCACTTCACAGACGATAAGTGAAATGATCATTTTAGAATGACACGACAGTCATTTATCACACTGTGTTCGATTCAACAACATCATTTTTTTACGACATCATCAATGTCTCAACATCATTACGCCATTTCTACATCATCGCACATGCCCAGAACTTTACAGTTTCGGTTTTCAGTCCGATCAAGTGTTTATACGTCCTATAGAATGGATTACAAAAGGTTTAAACCACCCCTTATAATCCAAATGACATATTAATTGGATTTGGCCAATTCATTCCGGCTTTTTTTTATTACGACTGTGCTACTAGTCCGATTACAAACGGATTAGGGTCCATGTAAACAGAGCGTCCCCATAGACTGTTCTCAAGTCCACTTGTGCATTAGCAAATTAGTAGAAAGAAACCATACTGTTGGTTCATTACTTTGCTAACCTGGGCCAGGGGAAAAAAATATTGTCCTGTAGACTGACCAATCAGAAAGAAGTATTCCAGAGAGCCATGCAATAAACACGAGTTGGTTCATAATTTATTTTTTCTCTTTTTTTTCAGAGTGGACTTACTCCTCTTCACCTCTCTGCTCAGGAGGACAGAGTGCGGGCGGCTGAAATACTCGTCAAGCACGATGCCAACATAGACCAGCAGACCAAAGTAAGCATGACTCGTAGTTTTATATTACTGTGATTCTTTACTGTATTTTTATTTTTAAAAATAATAATTTGGAAAGAAAGTGTCAAGATATGTTACATTTCAGCTAATGTGAAATTTGGTTGTTTCTTCTAGTTGGGCTACACTCCTCTTATTGTTGCTTGTCACTATGGAAATGTAAAAACGGTTAATTTCCTTTTGCAAAATGGAGCTAATGTCAATGCAAAAACTAAGGTAAGAGTTTAATATACATATTTTTTTTTTTTTTTTTTTTTTTTTTTCATTATGTGACTTGATAACCCAATTAATAATTATGTAATAAACTATTCATTTCATCTTTTTCAGTTATGAACTATTTGAACTATGATTGAATTAATGGATGGATGTTGCTGATATCTGTGATTGGTTTTTAAAGTACTGCAATTGTTTTATTTTATGAATTATACACAACAAGCATGCTGGTATTTATCTACTTATTATTGTATTATTATTTGTATATAAAGTTTTTAATTTTATAAGCTTAATATTTTATTGCGACTTTTTATCAAACTATTCTGTTGTAAGATTTTATCTCTCGCAATTCTTTTTTTCTCAGAATTGCGTGATATTACGGAGCCCCTAAAGGGACGTGGTGGTGGAAATCTTTTTAGGATGGGAGATTTTTTTTTTTTCAATCTTTTGCGTTCCCTCGCAAAACTTTTGCGTTCCCCCGAGAAACTTTGCGTTCCCTCGCAAAACTTTTGCGTTCCCTCGCAAAGATATTTGCGTTCCCACGCAAAATGTTTGCGTTCCCTCGCAAAGTTATTTGCGTTCCCACGCAAAAGTTTTGCGTTCCCTCGCAAAGATATTTGCGTTCCCACGCAAAACCTGTTGGCAGCTCGGACAGACACTTCCTGCATGTCCCGCTGGCAGTGTTTCAGAGCTCCGACGTTAATGGAGCGTTTCATAGTGTTTGAACTTGGACTCTAATATAAAGAAATGCGGTCAGTGCTTAACTCAATGTGTTCAGTGAAGTTGGCAATATATTCACATGCTATTCGAACTTCCCGGATCAATATTCTTGAGCTAAACGTTGTTAAAACACAAACGACACCTATTTACAATCACAGTAACCTAGACAACGAGATACAACCCAATTCTCCTCAAAACGAGCTTTATAATATAAATGTCTTTAACCGGCGAGACAAGTCCGAATAAGGGACCGTCTGCAAAGTGCAAATCCCAAAACCCTTCTGCACATTTTATATGATTTAACATATTCAATAGCTTCACTGTGATACAATGTAGGCTACTGTCACCAAATTCAGTTCCAATAACTTTACCCTTTTTAGAAAAAATATTCAGTAACTTCACACTGTTATAGGCTACAGTGTAATGCCATCAAATTCAGTAAGCAAATATAATGCAAATGCTATGGTTGTAACTATTATGTTAGCTGCGTACAGTAGCCTACCAATATAATTTGTGTAAAGAATAGGCCTACTTATTTTTTTATGTGCAATTACTTCCCAAACTAAGTGTTGTATAACCAACATTAGAGCACTGATGTGTGAACTAAATTTGTTGTGTTACAGTGAAGTTATTAAATATTTTTTTATATATAATATAAAATGTGCAGAAGCAGTGCAGTATGACCAGTGAGTTTACCATTGATGTGTAAACTGAATTGGGTGGTTTGTAACATTGAAGTTAATGACTATTTTTATATTTTTGACTATGAGTTGATGCTGTAGTCGTTTTTGGGGTTATATTGCACTTTGCAGATGGTCCCTTCGGACTCAGCCGCCTGCGTGCTCATAGAGATCCATTTATATATTATAAAGCTCGTTTTGAGGAGAATTGGGTTGTATCTCGTTGTCTAGGTTACTGTGATTGTAAATAGGTGTCGTTTGTGTTTTAACAACGTTTAGCTCAAGAATATTGATCCGGGAAGTTCGAATAGCATGTGAATATATTGCCAACTTCACTGAACACATTGAGTTAAGCACTGACCGCATTTCTTTATATTTGAGTCCAAGTTCAAACACTATGAAACGCTCCATTAACGTCGGAGCTCTGAAACACTGCCAGCGGGACATTAAACAGGAAGTGTCTGTCCGAGCTGCCAACAGGTTTTGCGTGGGAACGCAAATATCTTTGCGAGGGAACGCAAAACTTTTGCGTGGGAACGCAAATAACTTTGCGAGGGAACGCAAACATTTTGCGTGGGAACGCAAATATCTTTGCGAGGGAACGCAAAAGTTTTGCGAGGGAACGCAAAGTTTCTCGGGGGAACGCAAAAGTTTTGCGAGGGAACGCAAAAGATTGAAAAAAAAAAAAATCTCCCATCCTAAAAAAAATTCCACCACCACGTCCCTTTAGGGGCTCCGTATGATATTAACTCGTAATTGCGAGTTATAAAGTCAGAATTGTGAGATATAAACTCGCAATTCTGTGAAAAATAGTTCGAATTTGACTTTATTCCTCGCAATTGCGAGTTTATATCTCGCAATTCTGACTTTAATTCTTGCAATTGCGTGTTTTATCACGCAATTTTGAATTGCGAGAAATAAAGTCAGAATTGTGAGATGTAAACTTGCAATTGTGAGAGAAAAGTCAGAATTGTGAGATAAAAAGTCACTATTATATTTTAAATAGTTTTATTCCGTGTCAGAAACAAGCTTTTATAGTTTACTGTATTGATGGAGCTGTTTTTTTTTTTTTTAAGAACGGCTACACGCCACTTCACCAAGCTGCTCAGCAGGGAAATACACACATTATCAATGTCCTGTTGCAGCATGGGGCCAAGCCTAATGCCGTCACCATGGTGAGGGACACACTGGTACTTGCAGAAATTATATTAATACTGTACAGTATCTCTGTCCTCTAACCTCACACTCAATTTCTCTCAGAATGGTAACACAGCACTCTCTATCGCTAAACGTCTGGGGTACATCTCAGTGGTGGACACTCTGAAAGTTGTTACTGAGGAAATAATCACAACAACAACCGTACGTATCCTTGACTTTACAGATTAAGAACTTTTGATGTGTGCATAAACAGTAGAGTGTGTACGTTGAATGCCTTGTTAATTTCAACTACTGTAGACGGTGACAGAGAAACACAAAATGAACGTTCCAGAGACAATGACAGAAGTTCTGGATGTGTCTGATGAGGAGGGTAAGATACTGTGTTTTATTAACTTGTATTATACATAGTCAGGATTTCATATGTCTATGTAAAAGCTGATGTGCCTCTATAGCCCAGCATCAGATGGAGGAGGAGCTTTTTACTGAAGTCTCTATGGAGATCGAAGGTATAAAGGGTATAGATATAGAGTGAACCAAACTCACCCCTATACTAACAATACTGCATTTGCCAAAAATCTGTTCAGTTCGTTCTGTATCTATTCCAACGTATGGTTTGCAGTTTGTGTGCTAACTGCAACCAGCATGATTATTGTGTGTAGAAAACTAAACCGTGGAAAACTAACTTTGTTCTTAGTTATTTGTGCTAATCTGGGGGTCATTTTTCAGGGATGCAAACTTGTCACCTTTTGACGAAATTCGCCATTTTAATCCAAAATAGGTAATGTGTGTGATTTGTGTAGATCCGGCGAGTTTTTAAAATGGTGGTGGGGTAGGTTTCCATGTGTGTGCGACTGCTTTTAAAACACTTCTGTGCATATTTGTGTGTGTGGCACAAAGACAAGGGTTTCTATTTCCAACATGTTTTTTTTTTTTCAGCATTGAGGATTGTAGCCAATCACAGGCATCTCTGTTAAAAGCAATGGCCAATCTGAGGTGTTTAATGAATCCACTCTGAACGAGTTTTTGTTTAACGCAACTTCACTGACTGCATTCTACATTCTCGCAAATCCTCTCATCATAACTCCATATTTGTCACTTGTTTCACTCCTGATGAGTTTGCATCTCTGATTTTTAAAATCATAAAATGAGAATACATGATATCTCTGGAGCACTGAGCATTTTTAATTAATAATACCTACATAATGAGTTAGCATTGCTTGTTATGGCTGTCATCACTATTACTTTTGCTCATTTTAGATGACAGAATAAATAAGCAAATTCATATGTTAAATATAAATTACAATAATAGATACATTTATCTTTATTTATTTGACTTTTTAATGGGTTTTATTTTGTCCTTTCTGTCTCTTATTTTTAAATCTTTACCATCACAAATCTGAAGGTTCATAATAAATTATCTGAATTTCAAAAGGATTCTGTTTCATTTGCATTTATATTGAATCAGAAAATGAGAGAGAATAGCATGTCCAAAGAAATAGAAATAAAGTCACGAGTTGGGCTGTTTATTAAACTACATATCAGTCAGTCCATCGTTTAATCAAGCCAGTCATTTGATCAGCCCATACTCAGTTCATTAGTCTGTCAAATTGACCATATCAATCAATCCATACTGTAAATGTGTGTATGAGCAGGTGAGGACACAATGACAGGTGATGGAGGGGAGTACCTGAGAGCAGAGGACCTGAGAGAACTTGGTGATGACTCTCTACCTGGACACTACCTGGACGGCATGAGCTACACCCACAACCTAGACCGGTAAAGAAAATCCCACAGGCACATTTACACACACAAAACAATATTTAACTATTCAACAAACAAGCTAATTCCTTCTAAAAGCTTTTTACAGTTAGCCCCGCCCCCAAAACACAACATTGGTTGAGACCGATTTAATTTAAACATTTGTTGATGTTTCTGGGGATTTGGCTCTCACAAATACACACATAATGCTGTCATACCCACATGCTTGCATTGTCCTACCACAGGTCCCATGAGACCCCCAGCCATCTTGCTTACAGGGGTGAAGGAATCTTGATTGAGGACATGATCTCCAGCCACCAGTTTCATAAGGTGAGCTATCGCACTTCGTATGTACTTCTCATTTAACATTTGGGCCAGTGTTGTTATCATTAACTGAAAAACTATTAGTAATTGAAATAAAGATGAAATAAAATAAATATAAATATTACAGTACATTAAAAACTTAGAATTAGAATTAGTGCCTTTGCAACTAACTTAAATTAATACATTTAAGTACTAAAATTACTAACTAAAATTTAAACTGAATTTTTTTTTTTTTTTTTTTAAGCTCATTCAAAATGACAACAAAAAAAAATACTATAATTGACGCTTCAAAAAGTGATGGTAAAACTAACCCGCATGAATTGAGCGGTTTAGTCCAATTTTTTTGTCCAAAAAGAGACTAGATCGCTTTATATGATGAACAGATTTAATTTAGGCTTTCTGTCAATGGAGGGACAGAAATCTCTCAGGTTTCATAAAAAAAAAATCTTAATTTTTATTCCGAAGATGAACGAAAGTCTTACAGGTTTACTAACCATTTAAATTAAAATTAAAACTGAAAATATAAAAATAAAGGCTGATTAAAAATGTTAATAAATACTATAATAGAATATTAATAATAGTAAATGGGTTTTAGGTTTTTGTCTCATGATATGTTATAGTCTGATTTTGTTGTTTGTCAGGTGTCAGCGTTCTCTCGAGAGCACGAGAAGGACTCATATCGACTGAGCTGGGGTGCTGAACATCTGGATAATGTGGTGCTAACCAGCACTCTTCTGCAGTCAGGGTTAGTAGGTTTCATACACATTCAAAAAGACAAACACACACACTTGCCTCCCCTGTCCTACACAAGGTGTGTATCCTTATTCAAAGCAGTCATTGCATTAGATGCCACTTTTATGGACCATGAATGATAGCTGCTCAAGTTCCTCTCATATTGTTGTTTCATGCTCTTTGTTTTTTCATTTATTACACTCACATCATCTCCCTAAATCACTCTCGGCCTCTCTCTCTGCTGTTCGTGATTGTGTTTCTGTTCTGCTTTTAGCCGATCAACCCCATGCCTTGACCATGACAACAGCAGGTGACACTTCTCTTCCTTGTGCCCCTTTTCTTCCTCTCTTCATCTACTTGTATTACATTATTGCATGTATTTTTTAACAACTGACCGCTTTGAGCTTTTTTAAATGAGCCTATTTGTGCCTATTACATTTTAATAAGCATGTTTTAATGAATACAGTTACTCATGTCTCAGTTGACATTAAACACTCCTCAAAAGTTTGGGGTCAGGAAGATTTTTCAAAAAGTTGTATTCAGCAATAACGCATTAAATTGACCAGTATGTCATTTGACAGCAATGATATGTATAATGTTACAAAAGAAAAATGTCAAGTTGCACAACTGTTTTCAACATAATAAGAAATGTTTCTTGAGCACTAAATCAGCATATTAGAATGATTTCTGAAGGATCATGTGACACTGAAGACTGGAGTAATGATGCTGAATATTCAGCTTTGCATCACAGGAATAAATTACATTCAGAAATATTCAAATAGAAAACAGTTATTTTAAAAAAAATATAATAATATTTTATAATATTACGTTTTTTTATAATAATGATACGGTCAAAAATATAATAAATTTTTTTTATCAAATACATGCAGTATTGGTGAGCATAAGAGACTTTCAAACATGAAAAAAAAATCTTACAGAACCCAAACTTTGGAACGGTAGTGTACGCCGGTGAGTCTGTAATTTTACAACACATAATGGCAACGCAATCAGATAATAAAATGAGTGTTCTGGGTTTAACAGAAGTTAATCCTGAAACAGAAAACAACGGGAACCGGGAACATTTCTGGTGAAGTGTGTAATTTCTAATAGCACCAAGGAGAATTGCAAAATTAATGATTGTTTACAAACATATGGAAGCCCACAGAGCCTGTAAAATAAGTTTGGGAAATGAGACAGACAAGTAATAATGCAAGGAGGCATCCATAAGTTTAAAAACAAGAATTTGCACACTAAATGTATTTATTCCTGCATTTCATTTCTGGGTTAAGTAGCATTGCATTGTGTGTTTCACTGTCACTTGCTGTTGTTCTATATAAACAGCTTCCTGGTCAGTTTCATGGTGGATGCTCGCGGCGGAGCCATGCGTGGCTGTCGGCACAATGGGCTACGCATTATTGTGCCACCTAGAAAGTGCTCAGCCCCGACACGGGTCACATGTCGTCTGGTGAAGAGGCACAGACTGGCCTCTATGCCCCCTATGGTGGAGGGAGAGGGCCTCGCTGGCAAGATCATTGAAGTTGGACCCACCGGAGCCCAGTTTCTTGGGTAAGCGGGTGCAAAGGTTGAAATTGAACATTTATGCTGTATCACCATGAACATTTTTGTCTACTTTTGTGTATGTATGGCGCAGTTATATGTTCTCTATTTTGTCTCGTCTTGACTGACAAAGCAGAACTATATGTCAACATGTTTGACGTGTCCTAACCAGAAGTGATGTTACAAGTTTCCAGACAATCAATTTGTTTGTCTACACTGAATCAGCTGTGCAATGTGATGTAATTTTATCCAATAAGACTGTTTATTTTGTGAATTTTGGACCAATGAGATTCAGTGGATGGGGCTACTGGGCATCAGTATTATTTCAGTAATATTTAAATATTATTATAATAATTATTCATATTTTGAATGAGCTTTTATTTTATATTTTCAGTTTTTACTTTAGGTTAAGTTTTAGTAATTTTGTTTAAATTATATACATTATATATATATATATATATATATATATATATATATATATATATATATATATATGAAGATAAAAATAAAATAAGTTGAAGTATATATTTACTGAAAGTATAAAAATATATTAAAGCTATATATATACAGTGTATATAATTTAACATTTCTAGTTTTTGTTTAAGTTTTCATCTAATATTTATATTTTATTATATTTTAACTTTTTTAAATAGTTTTTAATAGTTTTCTTTTAAATTAAACAATAACAACACGCAGCTGGTTAAGACAAAAACTCTTGTAAGAGCTTTTAGTGTTCGTCTCATCTGGTTAGGACACTTGTCATCGCTAGTTTGGAGGAATGACAACAATGTTCCTCTCACTAAATCTGAGTTCAGGAAATCAGGTTCACAGTGTGCCTTGTTTTTTCCCACATCTTTTTTAATGGCTGCGATCGGAACAGTAAACTCCACCTCCCAACAGCCCCTCCTCCTCTTAATGAGGGTGAAAGTCTTGTCAGCAGAATTCTGCAGCTGGGGCCACCCGGCACCAAATTCCTCGGGTAGGAGAGATCCTAATGCCAAATATCCACTGGATACCGGTCACATTTCCCCCTGATTCTTTTAAATACACCTCCATCTCCAAGATGTCATATTCTTTTTATTTTGTCCCTTTTTTTTTTATATAGTTTTGTGAGTTAGTTTTTATCATTCCGAAATAGAGGTGTTCCATGAATTTACCTTTTCCTCCCTTGTTGTATTTTGATATCATTTGTTATTTATTGTTATTCTTTTAATGTATTTGTCATGTGCTGTGTGTCTGCTGTATATCGCATTATACATTGTTTTGTTTACTCTCTTTGGGCACTGCTGCATGCTGCATTTTCCTGTTTGTATGTCCTCCACAGATGCAATATCTGTTTCTGAACAACAACCCTCAATTTAAGCTGTCTAAAGCCATACATTAATTTGTCTGAAATAACACCCCTTATATTTGCAGGCCTGTAATAGTAGAGATCCCTCACTTTGCTGCATTGCGTGGGACAGAGAGAGAGTTAGTGATTCTGCGCAGTGAGACTGGAGAGAGCTGGAGAGAACATCACTGTGACCATACAGAAGAGGAGCTGAATCAGATACTCAATGGCATGGACGAAGGTGAGTGTGTCCTGAATGCACAGAGACACTTGTTTAATTAAAATAACACACCTTAAATTTCCTCTTACACTTATATCAAACTCGGCCAGTGGTGTGCCACAGAAAAATTGGGTGCATTTATTTGATCAAAAATACTGTAAAAACAGATGGACCTGTTTTCTATTTGAATATATTTTAAAATGTAATTTATTACTGTGATGCAAAGCTAAATTTGCAGCATCATTACTCCAGTCTTCAGTGTCACATGATCTATCAGATATTTGCTCATTTAGTGCTTTGAAACATTTACTTATTATCAATGTTGAAAACAGTTGTGCTGCCTATTATTTTTGTGGAAAGCATCATACATTTATTTCAGGATTCTTTGATGAATACAAAATTCAGAAAGAGCTACATTTATTTTTACAGAAATGTTTGTAACATTATAAATGTCTTTAATGCCCCGTTTGATCAATTTAATGCATATTTGCTGAATAATTTATTTATTAGTTGCAAAGGTGATTTAGTACAGAAGTGTGACAACTACTGGTTTGGATTGGATTGGAAGTGTATTCTGTGTGAGATTATCACACAAATATAATTATTCACCATTTAAGTATACTTAATTGTATAAACCCTAAATAGTTTAATTTAATGCATACCTTAAATCATGCTCATAATCTTCTTTTTCAACTAATTTTATATTAGATAAATTGCACACAAAAAAAAAGATTTATTAAGAGATATTATTTGTAATTTTCACACCAGAACTGGACAGTCCTGAGGAGCTGGAGAAAAAGCGAATATGTCGCCTAATCACCCGGGATTTCCCACAATACTTTGCTGTGGTGTCCCGAATTAAACAGGACAGTCACCTGATTGGTCCAGAGGGTGGGGTGCTAAGCAGCACACTTGTTCCACAGGTCCAGGCTGTGTTCCCCGAGGGAGCCCTGACTAAACGGATACGTGTGGGACTACAGGTGATCCCCACTGTGCCTTGCAAGCTTGATCATTGACCTTATAGTGTATACAGAAGAGTTTTTTATTTAGCTTTTGACATGTGTTAAATCAGTTTTATACACACATTATGTTGAGGGCAACACTGTACAATTTTTATGATTATTTATTACTCTGTCTGTGTCAATAAAACTGATTCAATTGATATTGCATTTTATTTCTTTAAGAAAAGGTTAAAAACTACAAAATTAATACAAATGCATTATATTAAAAAAGATATTAAAAATATCAAGAAATATAAAAATGTTTTATTTTATGGAAAAAGTCATGGTTTCTATTAAAACAATTATAGTTACGCTCTTCTCAAAATATTTATTTAATATACAGTATTACTCCTACATTGTTTAGAGGCAGGGAGAATGATAGATAGAATTGAAAAATGCCCTCTCAATCTCATCCTTCATTAGGCCCAGCCCATCGGTGAGGATCTGGTGAGGAAGATCCTGGGTAGTAAGGCTACATTCAGCCCAATTGTTACGTTGGAACCCAGAAGACGCAAGTTTCACAAGCCCATCACCATGACTATTCCTGTCCCTAAAAGCCCATCCAGTGACGGGACCAGCAGTACACCCACTCTACGACTGCTATGTAGCATTACTGGTATGTGAGAATAAAGAGTACGAGTTTATCCCAGTTTATCCAGTTTTGTCCATCAATTTGGGCCCTCACATCCAGCCCACTTTCTCTTTGAACTGAGCACTGAGCACCAGAACAGCCAGGCATAAGAACAGCTTTTTCCCTCAGGCTATGTTCCACCTTAACAATACATAACACATCCCAGGATTGTACATCTTTAAATAACATCTCAAAACTGTCCATACCTGTATGTAAATAGCATATCTGTATATTCATATTTCTGTCCATTGGTATATTTTTTTCTCTGTTGTAATGTTTTCATATTGTATATATTTTAATTTCATTGTCTTATCTCTTTATTATTGATGTTATATTTCATTGTATTACCTTAATTTCTATATATGTCTGTACCTTTTCTGCACTGGAAGCTCCTGGCACCAAGATAAATTCCTTGTGTATGTAAACACACATGGCAATAAAGCTCTTCCTGATTCTGAATCTGAATTATCCAAGAGAAAAAAAAAATCATTTGGGAAGGTGTGAACAGTTCAATTTATTTTCCAGGAGGGACAACTCCAGCACAGTGGGAGGACATAACTGGATCCACACCTCTGACATTCATCAACCAGTGTGTTTCATTTACCACCAATGTATCAGCAAGGTGAGTTCTGCTGCAGTGACATCTGCTTGTTGACTGGTTTCCTTTGACAAATGGTTAAATAAATCTTTTTTCTCCCAGGTTCTGGCTCATAGATTGCCGTCAGATCCAGGAGTCTGTGAACTTCTCCAGTCAGCTGTATCGTGAGATCATCTGTGTGCCCTATATGGCCAAGTTTGTCATCTTCGCCAAGACTTTAGACCCCATCGAAGCACGACTCCGCTGCTTCTGTATGACGGATGATAAGATGGACAAAACTCTGGAGCAGCAGGAGAACTTCACCGAGGTGGCTCGTAGTCGAGATGTCGAGGTAAGTGTGGTTTAGCTAGTCTTGTCACAACAAAAAGTGCCATTGACAAGAACATTTTCTAAATGGTGGTATATTTATCTCTACAGGTACTAGAGGGAAAGCCAATCTTTGCCGACTGCTTTGGAAATCTGGTCCCACTAACCAAAAGTGGACAGCACCATGTGTTCAGTTTCTATGCCTTTAAAGAAAACCGTCTTTCTCTATTTATCAAAGTAAGCACTTTGTTATTTGAAGGACTATTTATTGTAGATAACTATGGGGATATTTTTTCAACATTTGAGAGACAGCACAAAAAGGCACTGAGTTACAAATCTTTAATCAAATGTGTTACAACACTCCACATTGCCCCCTACTAGTTTAAATATAATGCCACAGTATTGTGCAAATGTCTCTTGGTGGTCAGAAAAGTCACAGACTGGTTGTTTCAACAGATTCGTGACAGCACTCAAGAACCATGTGGCAGACTGTCTTTTACAAAAGAGCCAAGAACATATCGCAGTCTAAACCACAATGCAATATGCAACCTGAACATCTGCCTACCTATCTACTCAAAGGTAAGTGCAAACACTCTCAACTATCATATTAACTGGCATAGCCTATACATTTGCATACATAGACACAAAAAGCCAATACCTTTTATTCAAATGATATTTAGTTTCACCATATTTAATCTGACAGTTGATTTTTACTCTTTAGGAATCCGATTCTGACGAAGATGCAGATGTGGAGGTAAATGCCTATTTTAACAATTTGAAAATCATTTATTTTTAATGTTTTCTTTGCAAAAAGAAAAGATAAGACATTTTTCATGTTTTCAATCCTATTAACTTTCTCTGTTTCAATCTAATTTCTTTATAGAGTGAGAAGACACATGAGAAATGTAAGCAATATTTAAGTCAATAGTTTAATTAAAATGAAAATTATGTACACCTGGGCAAAAAAAAAAGAAGAAAAAAGGCCCAGTCCCAAGCCCAAAATGGTTAAACACTAAGCTTTTAACTGTCTTAACCACAAATTATTGGTCAGGAAATTAGCTACATTTAAGCAAATGCACTACTTAAAAGCCATTTCTGTCTCAGAAAAACATCAAAGATGATCCCATATTTTTGGCAGAATATGGGAGGTTTAATTCAGAGTGGTTCAGCTGATTTGTGTGGAGCTCATGTTTTGGCCTGGTCAGAGTCCAGATTTAAACCCTATACCGAATATTTGGTCTCACATTAAACAAACTAGGAGACATTTTAAACTACTCATGAACAGTTCGAAGCCATTAACATTAACACTAAGGGGGACAAAGGGGAGACTAATCCATGCTAAGTTACTTTATCTACAGTATTTGTGCAATTCTTGCTCATCTCCTGACAAGTAATTTGTGATTAAAATGGTTAAGACCATTAAAAGACCCCTAAATATTTTGACATTTTTTTATGCCTAGGAGTGTATATACTGCGTTTTCTCACATTGTTTTGTAACCTCCATAATACATTGTTTGAAATATTATAGAAAACATATTTATCAGTGATTTTAACAGAAATTGTATTTGTGGATCCCTGACTGCTGTGCTATGGCTGATAAACATCCCTTCTTCCATTTTTATTTTTTTCGTCTGCTGTTCTCATAAAACATTACGTTCAATTATATTCTCTTACAATGGTATCTTACTTCTGGCATGATGATTTCTAAAATGTTTAATGAGTTTAAAATCAAATGTGTTACATGCCAAAAGAGATACTGGAAAACAAACCATTCTCCCCGAAAAGAAAATCACACTGACCAGGCACATATTATTTTGCCTGTAATGAAATCACATAATTTGCTTGCCACAAGTCACCTTTGCATGGATCATTTCCCTTGCATGGAAATAACTTGACTTACACATATTATATTATTGTATATGTATGTGTGTGAGTGTGTCTGCTCAGCCTGTATGCGTGGATACCTTTTTTGAAAATATGCATAATTTGTGTAACATTTTTATCCCTGTCACTCACATTCTTTATTTGATTTGATTCACTCGTGTTTATGATTGCTTTCCTAAATTTTCCTTATCATTTACCTCAGTCTTTTAACAAATTCCCATATGTTCCTCCATTATTGACTCAAAGCCATAGCATTTGATAATTCGAAAGTGTTTTATGGGAAAAACCTCTGATTGTATCTCAGTGCTGTTTTTAAGGGCTTTGAACATGTTTCGAACATGCTTTCTGTGTTTTTGTTGACATGAGCTCTTCATGTCGAGAACAATCTTGAGATGCCTCATTGGTACAGCTCCACTCTGTGTTATGATTACTTTCCCCATTTGTTCTTTGTGCACAGGTTTCTGTATTACTTATTCTTTCCCTTTGTTTTTCTTTATACTTTCCCTCTTGTGCAAGTGTATGAGTGGATACTTGAAACAATATAACGTGTTTAAGCAAGTTATTTCCTACCCATTTCCTCCCCTCACTCTGTAATTCTTCTTTGCTTTGCTTAACTGCTCCCATGCCTTCCCAAATCCTTTGGATCCAAATCTAGATAAATTTGCGATTTTTCGTCATTCTGTCAAGTAGTTTCCTTATCATCTGAACTGAAGACAGTTTGTATTGCTCCTGCCCTGACTAGTTTTCCAATGTCTTTTGTCCTCTTCATTTCCCCTTTGTTCTTTTAAACAACTCTTTGTGCTGTTAAAATGGAAGATTATGATGGATCTGAGACAACAGAGTTTTCCATGATGCAAATCATGCATGACCCTGCCACACTCGCAAGTCCAGATCTGCTTTCAGAGGTGTCCGATATGAAGCAGGACCTGATTAAAGTGTCAGTCCTTCTGACCTCTGAAAAATCCGAAATATCGTGCTCCTCGGATGCCAGAGAGAGATCAGACAAGGCTGGGGATGACGAAGTGGATGAGCCGTTTGAAATTGTTGAAAAAGTGAAAGAGGACTTGGAAAAGGTAGAAGAGATCCTCCGTGAGGGAACAATGGATGAAACAAAGATGGAAGGTGCTATTGGGATATCTGTAACCATTGATGGTGATGAGTGGGTACTTCTCGGTGAGACAGATGTTGAGGAATCCAAATGCAAAAACATCACTGAAGACCAAGAGACACTCATTCAGGAAGTTCGAATCACAAGAGACACTATATCAAGTTCTTCTTCTAAGAGGGATATGTCAGGTATGGTTTCATATCTCAGTGGTGACTTAGAACAATGTCTGCAGGAACCTATACCATTTAGTCATTCACAAGATGTAGATATTGTTCAAGAAAGCTTTAAAGAGGTATTCGTTGCCCGTTTTAAACACCGTCCAGTAGAAATCAAAAAGCCAGTAAGGAAAAAGCGTAAAGAGAGGGAGTTTGCAAGTGGCAGTTCTGAAGATGACCTGGAAAGGATGAGTAGGAGTCAGTCTGATGAGTCTCTTGATGAAGATGCAGTTATTGGTGGATCTGGACCTGTCTTTGGATCGGTTCCTGTGTCTCCTAGAGTTGTAGAAACTCCAATTGGATCCATTAAAGACAGGGTTAAGGCACTGCAGAAGAAGGTTGAAGAAGAAAAGGAGGTGGACAATCAAAACTGGAAAGTGAATACTTGCCAGGGTAAGTCATATATCACAGAGACAGATAAATCAACCAAGCTTCCTCCAAAATCCCCCAGATCTCCAAAGTCACAGACAGAAAGGCTGGAAGAAACCATGTCTGTAAGAGAGCTGATGAAGGCATTTCAGACTGGCCAAGATCCATCAAAAAGCAAGTCTGGACTTTTTGAACATAAAGCAATTACGCCTGTAACCTCTGAGATGGCAACTTCTGATGTGATGCAGGTTCCCCCAACATATGATTACCAAATGACAACAACTCAACATTTACAAGAAAGAGCAATTACCACTGAGACCTCTGAAAAGGCAAGTCCTAATGTAACACAGATTCCTCTGACAAATGACAGCCAACTGACAGTAACAACCAAACATTTACAAGAAAGAGCAATTACGACTGAGTCCTCTGAAATGGCAAGTCCTAATGTAACACAGATTCCTCCAACATATGACAGCCAATTGACAGTAACAACCCAACATTTACAAGAAAGAGCAATTACGACTGAGACCTCTGAAACGGCAAGTCCTATTGTAACACAGATTCCTCCGACATATGACAGCCAACTGACAGTAACGACCCAACATTTACAAGAAAGAGCAATTACGACTGAGACCTCTGAAACGGCAAGTCCTAATGTAACACAGATTCCTCCGACAAATGACAGTCAACTTACAGTAACGACCCAACATTTACAAGAAAGAGAAATTACGACTGAGACCTCTGAAATGGCAAGTCCTATTATAACACCGATTCCTCCGACATATAACAGCCAACTGTCAGTAACAACCCAACATTTACAAGAAAGAGAAAATACGACCGAGACCTCTGAAAAGGCAAGTCCTATTGTAACACAGATTTCTCCGACATATGACAGCCAACTGACAGTAACAACCCAACATTTACAAGAAAGAGCAATTACGACTGCGACCTCTGAAACGGCAAGTCATAATGTAACACAGATTCCTCCAACATATGACAGCCAATTGACAGTAACAACCCAACATTTACAAGAAAGAGCAATTACGACTGAGACCTCTGAAACAGCAAGTCCTATTGTAACACAGATTCCTCCGACATATTACAGCCAACTGACAGTAACAACCCAACATTTACAAGAAAGAGCAATTACGACTGAGACCTCTGAAACGGCAAGTCCTAATGTAACACAGATTCCTCCCACATATGACAGCCAACTGACAGTAACAACCCAACATTTACAAGATAGGGCAATTACGACTGTAACCTCTGAAGCGTCAAGTTCTGATATGATGCAGGTCCCTCCAACATATGATAAACAAATGACAGTATCAACCCAACATTTACAAGAAAAAAATGTTGTAGAAAACAAGATCATTCAAGAATCATGTTTTGACCCAAACACAATTCAATATAAACCAATGATCGATGATGGTGAAACACTACATGAAAAACCATTGACGACCTTAAACAGTACTTTGTCCATCCAAAATACAGAAGGTGATCCAGCTATAACTTCCAACGTTATCTTTAACTTTAAAGAGGAAAGCTCTCAGGAAGACCTTCTCTCTAGGCTTACATCAATTGACCAAAATGGAAAACCATCTCAGGAACAAGGCAGATTTGAGACTGAGGAACAACAAATAACTTCTGAGCTATTAGAAAATGAAGAGCCAGGGCTGATACCTGAGAGAATGTATTATGAAGATAACATCTGCCAGAATAGGAGATTGTCTGTGGAACCTCAGATCAGCCCAGACAGGAAACCATCAGAAGACTTCAGCGCAGATATTAAGGCAGAACTTGAGGACAGTCCTGGATATCTACTCTTTAGGCGGACATCAGGTGAAGCAAGTAAACGCTATTTAATGTGTAGAGATGGCCCTTCTTTAGACGATGAGGAACAGATACACCAGGTAGCTGTGGACCCAAGTAAATCAAATATAATCACTGCATTTGCTACTGCAATGGTGCAAGGTGAGCCCTTACTTAAAAGTGAAATACATGAAGCTTCGGAAGAAAGTCCTGATAGTGAGAAACACAAGGCCTTGGTAGACTCTCCTGGCAATAGTTTAGGAACTAGGACTCCTTACACCAGCACATGTGACAATGATACACATGAGGGACTTGCTGAAACCCCTCAAAATAGCCCTGAAATACTTGTTTTGTCTTCCTGTACAACTACTGAAGAAACAGAAGTCAGACATCAAGGGGCTAAGGAGACAACTTACCAATCAATTTTGGTGACATCACATGAAAGAGAAGAGAGTGACAAGAGTGTCCAATTATGTTCAGTAACCGCCATAAAAAGCAAGACATCACCTTATGATTCTAAGATTAAATCACCATCCCTATTGACCAGAATTGATTCACCATCCAATGATGACTCTAAAATGTATTCACTTTCTCCATCCTCCAAAACGGAGTCACCATCCTCTACTAATTCGAAGACAATAATTCAAGATACAATTGAAGTTATGAAATGGGACAGTGAAACATCTGCACATGACATGAGAAGTGATTCATCCTATAGAGATGATATGAAGCCAACAGAATTCAGTGTAATCGCTGAGTCTGAGAAGATACTTCAACATTGCCATCACAGTCAAGATGCACTAGATAGACCTTCTAGTTTGGATTCTCTGCAGCCTGAAAACATAAGTGACTCTAAAACTCTCTGGAGAACAGACTCACTTGAGACTACTCCCATCAGAGAAGATGGATCATCTCCAAAAACGCCAGACTCTATCGAGCCAAGCCCAAACAAGGAGTCCCCATGGCAGGACTCATTAGAGGGAAGTCCCACTGGGGAGGAGTATGGACAATTAAGTTATATTGAAAGGGTCTTTTCAACAAGTCAGTCTTTCGTTTCTGATTCTAGGAAAAATTTAGACAAAGAAAAAAATTCTGAACAAGACATTTATTTAGAAAGTGAGTCCTCCCAAGGGTCCCATGAGACCCCAGAAATGCAGTGCCTTCCCATGACCCTGGAGCAAAAAGAAGAGGTACTTGACAGTGAGGATCTTCATGATTTTGATGCTTTACAAAGGCAATTCACTCCAGAAGAAGAGATGTTTAAGATGGCTGCAAAGATCAAAACATTTGATGAAATGGAAAAGGATGCAAGAGTTAAAAAGGTAAAATTTGATTTTGATTGTGATTTTAAACAATTGAAAGAAGAAAACCTGTCACCACATAAAAGTCCACTAGACTTTAACACAATGTTAACAAAAGATTCAGAAGAGCAGTGCTTGGAGAATCTGACTGAATCTAGCCCAGTATTACCTTTACAACCTTCATTGTCTGATGAGGATTATGAAAACCCTGAGTTGGATGAGTCATCTCACAAAGTATCATATGTAACCAGTGAAGTTTTAAAGACCATGGACAAAGGTGAGCAAGACCATACCCATTTGAAGACTGTGGATTTACAGACATGCACAAACATACCATCTTTGCAAACCCATGTAAACAAGGAGAAAGACTATGAACAGTTTTCTACAGAGTACCATACTACAGTGATCAGTGGGACTACACCTGAGGAGGATCTGGTTATTACATCAGCAGAAAGCAAAACAGGCATTGAGATGGATGCTGATGTTGATTCTAAGTCTCCTGGTGAGAGACCAACTTCCGAAAAAGTGCTAGAACTAGTTTCTCCTAATGAAATTATAGGTACTATTACTGCAGCCAAGGAAGTGCAGAATGAATCCCAGACAGATTTAAGTATTTATGAAGAGGACAATGAAGGAAAGTCAGACGAAATTCCAGCATCTACTCTAAGAGACTTGGTTCCCTGGAGTGCTGAAGTGGAAGATGATGAGGCATTTGATGCACAAATTGAAGCTGAGGAGCAGAAAATACTTGCTTTGTGTACAGACAGACAATCCCATGGAACCACACCTGACACAACTCCAGGACGTACCCCTACTGAAGAGGGGACACCAAATCCTTTCCTCTTCCAAGAAGGAAAACTATTTGAGATGACCAGAGGTGGAGCCATTGACATGACCAAGAGGACAATGGAGGAAGAGGAAGAAAGATTAGTCTTTTTTCCAATAAATGAAAATCCAAGTGAAGAATTTGAACAAGTCAATTTCAACACTAGTGAGTCTGTTGCAGTAGCTTCATTTGAGTTGACTGCAGATGGTTTAGTGCATCAAGACAGGTTTACTGAGGAACCTGATGCAAAGTCTGATGGCTTTAGTCAAACCGGAGCCAAGATTAAACCAGAACATCCAGAACCGATTAAATTCCCTCTACAGAGTGAATTAAAGAGCCCCACAGAGGATAATGGAATCCATGAAGACACACTGATACCGAATGTTGACACTGCCACTTATACAGTAACACGAACAGTTTATTCTGAGCAAGACCTGGAATCCTCCGACTCCTCAGTAGAAGATGAACAGCATTCTGTTGTTGAAATGCCCATATCCAACCAAGTATCAATGATTTCTTCTAGTGCCTCAGCTCATACTGTTAGTCAACAGCAATTCCAGACATCACCTTCAATGTCCACTCCATTCAAGGACATTGCTGCTGAAATTGAAGACACAACATTTAAGCCAAAAATAGCTGTGAAAGCAGCCAGCTTTGACCAAATTTTAGGACAAGGAGACTCTATTGAGCAGAATCAAAGGCCTAAATCTGAGGCAGATATTGGTGTCTCAGAATGGTCCATGTCTGTTGTGGATGATCACACTAATATAGAAAGCAACTACACCAAACCAAAGACTTCATCCTCCCAGATGCCTGTTTCACCAACACAGGCTCCTCCACAGTATTCTGCATCCAGTCAACCTAAAACACCTGCCAAAGTCTTTCAGGAATTAGACCCTTCAAGGAACACTGAGCATGATGAAACCAAAGGAGACAGAGCCTCTGTTGAGTTAGGGATAGAAAGTAGTTTGAAAGCAATTCGACCCCCGTCCGTAGGCGATGATGTCTTTGAGTCAAGGGCCTACTGGGAGGATTGTGTGGAGACACAGATGCAGAGAATCTCAGACAGCACTACCCCAGACCAAAGTAAAGGTACCTCTACTTGGCACTTGCCCCCCGTATTACTTTCTCCAAAATTTAACTTAACTCCATGAAAAGTCTCTTTTCTTTAGTTTTTTTTTATTTTGTGTTTTAATTTGTTGTTCTGTGTTGTCCTGTGCTTTTTGTTTTATATATTGTGGTGTTTTGTACTGTACTTTGTCTCATCTCAATGTTTTCTTGTGTGTGTGTTTGTGTGTCATTTTTGTGACTTTTTATGTCATGTTTTATTCATTTGCATATCAGTGTGTACATGAAAACTGAAATCTCAAGATTGACTGGCTCTACTTTTTTTGTGATAATATTACAGTTTCCTGTGCAATGCATGCCCACTACTGCATGTTTCATCTGAGGAATATTAAAACAACCATGGCAATGGCACATTTTTGTGTAAAAAGACTTATACATTTTTATTGTGTAAAAAGAATAAATTATGGCATATAATATTGTATAACTTTATAGATCTATGCAATATATACAGTAATTATATAGATATTAAGTCGCTGTGCTGTCATGCTATTAACTCTTTCCCCACCAGCATTTTTTTTTTAAGTTGCCAGCCACCGCCAGCATTTTTGATCATTTTCACAAGATTTTCATGGCCCCCAGAATATTTCGTTGTATGAATAAATGAACATGCAATATATCAAAAGAAAGAGCAGAGCCTCTACTTTTAAATGAACAAACAAAAAGTTTAATTAGAAAAAGCAACATTTTGAGCAAAAAGCTGAGAAAAACACATTTTTGTCAAAGATTACACCTGGATCGGATTCAGAACGATGATCAAAATATAAATGGAGCAGATCGAGTCCATCAACACCCCCAAAGCTTGCACAGTCCTGTACCTCGTCCTGGGGCGACCTCGACCTTTCATTCTGTAACATTAGGCAGTTTTGATTTATAATAATAATAATAATTCGTTACATTTATATAGCGCTTTTCTGTGTACTCAAAGCGCTTTACATGGAAGGGGGAATCTCCTCAACCACCACCAATGTGCAGCATCCACCTGGATGATGCGACGGCAGCCATATTGCGCCAGAACGCCCACCACACACCAGCTTATTGGTGGAGAGGAGACAGTGATGAAGCCAATCAGTATATGGGGATGATTAGGAGGCCATGATGGACAGAGGCCAGGGGGCAAATTTGGCAACGATGCCGTGCTGTTTAATGTTGATGATTGCGTTATTTTACATATGCATCTGCTTACATATGCAAAAGTCTTTTGATCAGGAGATTCAGTACTCTTTCAGAAGATGTCATAGTGCTCCCTAATGTATAACAGTAAAAACACAGAAAGCCGGAAATTTCTGTCATTGGCGGGGAAGCATTGTCTCCAATTTCCGTCAATGATGGGGAAAGAGTTAAGAAATATGTAAAACTACAACTTTTTTGTGCTACAAAAACTACAATTTTTGGAAATAATTTACAAAGAGATAGAGACTTTACAACAACTCTAGTCACATATTTTTTGTGATATCTCAAATATCGTTAATGCATATCCCATAATATAGTCATAAACAGTCCATTAGCTGTCAAAGTAGTTCAAATAGCAAATGAATGGGGTTTTGATGTTTGAAGGTTTTTTTCAGTTTTGAATGCATTTCTAACATAAAATATAAATGAAAAATAATTTGATTTTACAGTGGACTGGCATGATGATGCAGATAGGAAAGAAGAGACGTTGGCCATAATTGCTGACCTTCTAGGTTTTAGTTGGACAGGTGAGTAGTATGTCAGTATGAAGTTGTCAGAAAATCAAAACACTTTTTTAAAAACAACAAGATGCAAATACATAAGTGGATGTTTCTTTTAGAACTGGCCAAGGAGTTGGAATTCAATGAAGATGAGATTCAGAAAGTGCGTGCTGAAAACCCAAATTCATTACAAGAGCAAAGTCATGCCCTTTTGCAGCGCTGGGTAGAAAGAGAAGGAAAGCATGCAACTGGTGAGTCCTGTTCTTATTCAGTCTTATCAGTCAGAATTGAATTCATACAATGTTATTAAAATGCAAATGCTTAAAATGCATTTTAAATAATAGATTCTGATTATGTCTCAAATTCCACAGAAGATACATTGATTAAAAGAATCACTAAAATAAATCGCATGGACATTGTTCATCTTATTGAGATTCAAATGCACAAGTCAATCCAGGAGCAAACCTCAAGAACATATGCAGAGATTGAAAGGACTTTGGATCACAGTGAAGGTAGGACAATGCAATAAACACATTCTTGTTTTGCATATAAATGAGAACTGCAAGATGTAAACCCTAAAAATAAGTCTTGAATTAAAAGTCTTAGGCTAAAGTCTTAGATTGTCAAAGTGGATGTTTTTGTCTTTTGTAGCTCTCTCCTCAGTCCAAGAGGATGTTGACAGTCTCCGGGTGGTGCGGAGAGTGGAGACTTCACAAAGGCATCCTCCAGCTGTGTCAGAAGAAGACTTATCTGTGGCCTCTCTCCTTGACATTCCCTCATGGGCTGAAACAATGGGAAACATCCATTCAGAGAGCATTCATGGGGATCTGATGGAGGAACTGGAGATCAACCAGTGAGCGATACACAGAGCTACTTTAAAAAAAAAGACATGTACAGTGATGATTGCACTCAGTTAATCAGTCTTCTGGTAGTACACAACCTGGTCATTCACTTTCCTCTCTCAATGTCTCCTAGGGACAGCTTCACCAATCCATGGCTGTTTCAAGAGGTCAATAAAGAATCTACAAAGGAAGCTGAAGATGAAGAAGTAAGTCCATGGCATTGTGCATTTGATGCATAACCTGTGGGTCATGTCCCAAATGTGTCAACCCACGTACTGACAAGAAACCTTCCACAGGGTCTTAGTTTTCTATTTTTTTTACAAAAAAAATTGCACAGAACTCTTACTAGTCATAGTGTTGCGAAAGGCTTAAGGACAGTTATACAGGAATGTTGTTCCAGGAAGAAACACAATCTACTCAACTGATGATTCTAGACTGCTCTCTCTTGACCTGCCTTAATAGAAATGATTACAGAATGGTTACATGGATGTGTTTCTAAAATGAACTGATGATCATTGGATGTTTTGTTTGTCACTGGTTGTATATATCCCTTCAATATCATCTATTTTCCCTTGTCATACTTTTCCATACCTCATATAATTTATCCTGTAGGTTTCAGCAGCATCTGAGGAGGAAAATCAAGCTCAGGGTGACCTTTCAGACAGTGAAAATCCTTGTCTCTCTTCATCACCAGTCAGTTTGAAGAGTCAGTCAGAATTCCACCAACAATCAACAAAGGCATCTCAAAATGTCTTTAATTTCAGTCAGGTGTCTATTGTGAGATTTTCGTCTGGTGAAAATTCCGTTGTTTTGTCAGCAGTTGAACCTGGACACACAGTACCCGACCTACTGCAACACACTTCACCAGTGAGTCAAGAGGAAGAAAATCAACTCAAAGAACCAAAATATCAAGATGAAGATTCTGTGTGTCTTGATAAAGTGTCGCCTGTATATGAAAAAAGTGATTTAGAAAGCAATGAAAAATCATTAGTGGCACAACTATTTGAACCTAATAAAACTTCAAACACCATACAGTCTTCTTCATACCATGAAAGCAAACCATGTGAAGTTGATAGATTGGTTCCTGACAGCAACCAAATACTAGGCCAAAATATTAGTCCTGCACTTTCCCCTCATGCTTCTGTGAGGGAGGCTGATGAAACTCTCTCACACAGTGTTGAAGTGAATCCAGGGCTTTCAAGAGTGACTCCAGATCTCATTAAGGGCTCTCCAGAATCAGATCAGGTCTTTTTTACCCCAGAAAAGCTTAGTGATTTGGATCCAGTTGCTTCATTGCAAAGCCTTAGAGTAGTAGATCAAACTTTAGTCGAATCCTCTCCTACAATTGACTCTACATCACTGCAGTCACCTACTCATCACGACATCACAATTTTAAATCAAGAACAATCTGATACAAACAGCTCCCCACAGCAACCTTTGGAGCCCGAAGTTGATCCTAGAGTAGAACCACAAACTGATTCCTGTGAACAGGAACCATATCTACAACTTTTACAATCTCCAAAGCAAAAGCCAGAAACCTTAGGAGACCATTGTGGTGATCAAGAATATATTTATTGTCCTGATGCGTTAAAATTAAATACACAATTGGATTTAACAATTGAACCTCTCATAAATGACAGTTATGAGACTGAGACTGACCCAGACATGTGGATTCCAAGGGAAACTGCACAGCTGAGTGAAATTTCTCCTTTTTGTGGCTCTGACCTCAGTCCACAAACACCAGAAACAGTCATAGCTTGTCAACATTTTGACTTCAGGGAAAAGTCTTCTGAACTTGGATCAGCAACTACTAAGAAACCTGTTTCACAGGAGGCAGTGGTGTCCAAAAGTTTAAAACGGCCACAGTCTGAACCATTAATCTCTGGTGCAACTCAACAGTCAGAAGAAAAGCATATTGACCGCTGTCTTTCTGAGTCCTCTGAACCCTTGGTACTCACTCTGAACATGAATCAAGCAGTTGAGAAACCTGTTTCCCAGGAGGCAGGACTAGCTTTACTTCCATCCCAGGATGGCAGTGACAAGGCCTTACCTTCCAAAGATTCCAAACGACTACTGTCCGAAACAGTCATAACTTCTCAACATTTTGACTTCAAGGAGAAGTCTTCTCAACTTGGATCAGCAAGTACTAAGAAACCTGTTTCACAGGAGGCAGTGGTGTCCAAAGGTTTAAAACAGCCGCAGTCTGAATCATTTATCTCTGGTACAACCCAACAGTTTGAAGAAAAGCGCATTGATCGCTGTCTTTCTGAGTCCTCTGAACCCTTGGTACTCACTCTGAACATGAATCAAGCAGTTGAGAAACCTGTTTCCCAGGAGGCAGAACTAGCTTTACTTCCATCCCAGGATGGCAGTGACAAGGCCTTACCTTCCAAAGATTCCAAACGACTACTGTCCGAAACAGTCATAACTTCTCAACAGTTTGACTTCAAGGAGAAGTCTTCTCAACTTGGATCAGAAACTACTAAGAAACCTGTTTCACAGGAGGCAGTGGTGTCCAAAAGTTTAAAACGGCCACAGTCTGAATCATTCATCTCTGGTGCAACCCAACAGTTAGAAGAAAAGCGCATTGATCGCTGTCTTTCTGAGTCCTCTGAACCCTTGGTACTCACTCTGAACATGAATCAAGCAGTTGAGAAACCTGTTTCCCAGGAGGCATTACTAGCTTTACCTCTCTCACAGGATGGCAGTGACAAGGCCTTACCTTCCAAAGATTCCAAACGGCTACTGTCAGAAACAGTCATAACTTATCAACATTTTGACTTCAGGGAGAAGTCTTCTGAATTTGGATCAGCAACTACTAAGAAATCTGTTTCACAGGAGGCAGTGGTGTCCAAAGGTTTAAAACGGCCGCAGTCTGAATCATCAATCTCTGGTGCAACCCAACAGTCAGAAGAAAAGCCCATTGATCGCTGTCTTTCTGAGTCCTCTGAACCCTTGGTACTCACTCTGAACATGAATCAAGCAGTTGAGAAACCTGTTTCCCAGGAGGCAGTACTAACTTTACCGCTCTCTCAGGATGGCAGTGACAAGGCCTTACCTTCCAAAGATTCCAAACGGCTACTGTCAGAAACAGTCATAACTTCTCAACATTTTGACTTCAGGGAGAAGTCTTCTGAACTTGCATCAGCAACTATTAAGAAATCTGTTTCACAGGAGGCAGTAGTGTCCAAAGATTTAAAACGGCCGCAGTCTGAATCATTATTCTCTGATGTAACCCAACAGTCAGAAGAAAAGCATATTGACTTCAGTCTTTCCGAGTCCTCTGAACCCTTGGTACTCACTCTGAACATGAATCCAGCAGTTGAGATACCTGTTTCCCAGGAGGCAGTACTAGCTTTACTTCCAACCCAGGATGGCAGTGAAAACGCCTTACCTTCCAAAGTTTCCAAACGACTACTGTCAGAAACAGTCATAGCTTGTCAGCATTTTGACTTCAGGGATAAGTCTTCTGAACTTGGATCAACAACTACTAAGAAACCTGTTTCACAGGAGACAGTGGTGTCCAGAGGTTTAAAACGTCTGCAGTCTGAATCATTAATCTCTGGTGCAACCCAACAGTCAGAAGAAAAGCGTGTTGACCGCTGTCTTTCTGAGTCCTCTGAACCCTTGGTACTCACTCTGAACATGAATCCAGCAGTTGAGAAACCTGTTTCCCAGGAGGCAGTACTAGCTTTACCGCTCTCTCAGGATGGCAGTGACAAGGCCTTACCTTCCAAAGATTCCAAACGACTACTGTCAGAAACAGTCATAACTTCTCAACATTTTGACTTCAGGGAGAAGTCTTCTGAACTTGGATCAGCAACTACTAAGAAACCTGTTTCGCAGAAGGCAGTGGTGTCCAAAGGTATAAAACGTCCGCAGTCTGAATCATTAATCTCTGGTGCAACCCAACAGTCAGAAGAAAAGCGTGTTGACCGCTGTCTTTCTGAGTCCTCTGAACCCTTGGTACTCACTCTGAACATGAATCCAGCAGTTGAGAAACCTGTTTCCCAGGAGGCAGTACTAGCTTTACCGCTCTCTCAGGATGGCAGTGACAAGGCCTTACCTTCCAAAGATTCCAAACGGCAACTGTCAGACTCTGTTTTGTCTGGTCCAATATCCCAACAATCAGAGGAAAAACATTCTGGCTGGTATCTCTCTGACTCTTCTGAACCCTTGGTGTTTAACATGAATTTGGTGCTCGAGGAACTTGAAAAAACGGTTCAACCAGAATCTGATCAACCGGTCAACTCCGAGGTGAGTGTTTCGTTAGTTCTTGGTGTTTCCCAGGACACATTTACAGGGGAACTACAATCAATGGTTGAAAAAACATTAATGGAGTCACCTACATCTCAAACTGATCTGAGTGAACATAAGGAATTAGAAGATACTGATGTGTCAAAACCTGCGAACACTGAAAAACCAAAACCCAAAGACTTACTAAGCATTTATCAACAACATGATGACTCTGATCTTGAGGCTTTTTTCGACTGCATACAGACCATTTCAGATTATTCTGAAGCAGAAGACGACGAACCCTTAAAAGGCGCAATGGCACTTAGTAATAAAGTCTTGAGGTCAACTATTCATGAACTACAACAACAACCAAATGTCAGAAGTGCCTCAACACTACCATCCCATGAGAGCCCTCGTTGGTCAATCAGGTCATCAGACAGTGACGATTTTGAGGATTCTCTCATCATCCAAGAACCCAATGATGATGCAGAGGAGAAATACTTTTTAAGCCACAAAAGTCTTGAATCTTCTGAACAATTTCCTCAGGAGCTTCCTCATCGAGCAGGGGCTGAGTATAATGATGATGATGATGATCTGAGGAGGGTAAGCATCCTCAGCATGACCTCCCTCAACCCCCAACCCCCCACCCCATCCTTCTCCGATCTACCCTAATCCATTTCCCGCTGAATGAGTTTGCTGAAGGGATGGTGTTTGGTTTCTTTGAATTAACAATTTCACTAATTAGGAGGATTTTAAAACCTTAAAAACTTGATTTTACTCAAACAAATAATATAACATGATCATGTCACATTCATACCTTAACACCATCATAATCACTGTCTGCTTGTTCAGATAGTGCTAATGCATGTACTACATTTATGACATTGTAATGTCATATACTAAATATGCAGGATTTTGCAAGCAAGTAATAACTATATCTTAATATACATAACAATTAAGAGTATTTTCCATAAATATGTAGAACTAGAACAACTAAGCAACGGATTGCTGGATTTGAAGTGACTTGCTTACCAGCTAATTGTTTCATATAAGTCTATTTAAAAATGGTGCATGTTGTGTCAAGTTAAGAATGTTTTGTTGTCCCTTGTCTGGTTTTCTGTTTTTGATAAAAAAAATAAAAAAAAATAAAGATTTTGCATAATGACCATGTTTTTGTAATTTGATATTTATTGGCAGGTTCTAATAATGTTTAGTCTTATGCTATTTTAGCAGAGGGGGCAGCATTACATTAATTTGTTAATTGTGTTTATATAAACGTTTTTATGTTTTATATATATATCATGTACATTTTAATCTTATATTATTGCATGATTTTTCATACACGCTGTTTGGTTAGGATATTGATGATGCATTAGGTGTGCTGTCGGATAGCTCTGATGAGGATGTGCTGACCACCAGAGTGGTGCGAAGAAGAGTAATTATTCAGGTACATCTGTGACTGAGAATTGCCTGGTCTATTTTTGAGGTTCAGTGTGAAAGCAGAGTTTCTTAACACACACTAGGTGTGCAACTTTGGGTGCCAAACTGTTGTGTGATAGTTTTTCATACTGCTCTAAGATTTATTTTCGGAAACTGACACGATTTTAAAATCCTGCATTTTCAGCTGTGACTTAACCTCCCTGCTCCTCAATTACTGGTAGAAGTTGTCCATTTAAAACTACTCCAGCAATATAGTATTTGGGAAAGCATACAAGGCTATTAGTTGACTCTTGATCATCATAAAATGGACAACTTCTACAGGATGTGTTCTTCTTTCTATATTGGATGAATATTGTCAGCATTATTTCTTTATTATTCCTCTTTTGCTAACCCTAACCTTTACCCAAGCCAGGGCAGCTGTTTCCTTTTATGGCGAACACTGCTTTAGCAGGTGACATGTATTGATTGTGTGTCTGGTTTCTTCTACAGGGCGATGATGTTCCAGATATTCCTCCACAGTCGGTAACAGAAGAGCAATACACAGATGCACAGGGAAACTTGGTTGTGAAGAAGGTAAACATCCAAGATTTGCAGTATCCATCCGTTCATCAGTCCATCCATCAGTCCATCTACCTTTTCATCCATCCATCCATGGAAATCTGAGCTCTCTTGTTAATGTCCTCTAGATATGTCCTCTTACATTTTTATTTAACTTTTATTTACTTAAATTGTTTTGTTTTCTTTGCTTTCATTGTATATGTGATACTCTGAGGGCAGGTAGAATTCAAGAGAAGAGCAAATGATCCAGAAGGATTTATGTTAAATGCATCATTTCCATTCAAATGTGTTTATCTCACTCTCTTACCTGCTCAGGTGACCAGGAAGGTCATTCGACGGTGTGTGTCATCTGATGGGGTCGAGACAGAGCAGGTAAGGGTGGAGGGCTCCGCCCAAAAGCCTGTCAATGTGGCGCTGGGGGACGGATATTCAAAAGTAATGAAGAGGACAGTACTGAAGAGCGAAGGACATCAGACAGAGGTGGGTGACGCTGCCACTAATGATGAGATACAAGATGAAAAAATAAAAGGCTTACTTAACCTAATTTAAAGTAAATCTGATTACAATTAAGTTGATTTAGTTCATTCAATCAATTATTGGCATTTAAAGAGATCTGCTGTATTAAAGAGGTGTCTTTTGTTTAATTTCAGGTAACTTTCCATGAGCAAGACAACATGTCAGCTGCGGGGGAGTCTGTTGTAGGTCAAGAGGTCAGACAGGTGGTCCAAACAACAGTGGTACATGGAGAACAGCTGGAAAAGCATGAGGGGGATCCTTTCCTCACCACAGACCTGCCCTCTGCCCGGGATGACTTCACCCAGGTGAGCTGCTAAAGACAGCTGTCATTCCTGACATCTTTACAACATCAGATTTTTATGCTTAGCATTATTTTAAGGGAAGGATTCCAAACTTACACTGTCTCAATATTTTGCCTATAATATTTTTTTATTTATTTTTTTTAACCATTTTTTATTTTTTTTTATTTTTTGCCAGCTTATGTATGTATACTTTTTTTTTTTTAATCTGACTGACATAAATTAAAAAAAAAATCTTTTTTTTTTTTTACAAATAAATCAATCAAATTTTGTATAAAAATGTGTTGGCTTTTGACAAATAATAATAATGAGTCATGATATAAAAATATATTTTACTGCAAATACATTATTCCTTACAATAGTAGGTCATCCAGGTATACAGAAAATTCACACACTGTACTGTTGTAAATACTGCAGAAATAATTCTGTTAATATGTCATTTTGGACTATGCCATAAACATTTAAGGCATCCTCCGCTCTAGCAGTCCAACATACCCAAATAGTTTGTCCATCATGTTTCTTTCTAATCAGGGTTCATTTAGTGTTAATGTAGTGTGTGCCTCATTCCCTCAGGCTCTAAGCTACTTTGGAGGTTTTAGGAAGGTGCAGATCCCTCGAGTGGTAGAGCAGGAAATACTGCAGCCTGATGGATCTGTGATCAGGAGGTTTGAGAGACGGGCATGGCGTTTGTGTATATATTAATGTGAAAGTGTGGGGGGTAACCGGGGGGGCTAAGGTTAAATAGTGTAACCTTTATCTACACTATCTACACTAAAGTTTGGTGTCAGCAAGATCTTTGAATTGTTTTTGAAATAAGTCTCTTATCAATGCATTTATTTGATCAAAAATGCAGTAAAACAAATATTGTGAATTATATATCTATATATGTTTTCTATTTTAATTTTTTATTTTATTTTACTTAATTATTTTATTACTTTGATAAATGTTTTCATGATTCATTGATGAATAGAGAAAGTTAAAAAGAACAACATTTAGTTGTAACAATGTGAAATTTAATTTGTAACAATATGAAAGTCTTCAATTAAATTAAATCCATTCTTGCTTAATAAAAGTAACAATTTTACTGACCTCAAACTTTTTAACGGTAGTGTATTGTAATGTTCATGCAAATGTTCTATAGAGACAGAGTTAAGAAATTCTTATTTGCCGCCAGTGTGTGTATATTTGTTAACAAAGCATGTCTTTAGTTCTCTAATAAAAAATTTTACCCTGACTTTACACAAAAGTACTATGGGATTTCCATGTTTTTCCACTTGGATACTTTAATAAGGACCTAAAACACCAGTTTCTGCACTGTAAGACGCTGATCGATCTTTCTTTCTTATCTACAGGACGAGGATGCAGAAGTCTAGGACCCAAAGGAGGTCAGTAGTGAGGGATGCTTGGGGACAGAAGCGTGTGTGTGTGGACCAGATAGACGATCGATCTGAGCCACATGACAACCTACAGCATCACCTCCATCACCTCATTCACCACTACTGTGCCCAAAATGACTGAGAGGAAGAGAGGGAGGAAGCTGAAGAGAAGTCAGAGTGATGCTTTCCCTACCTTTATTTTCCTCTCCCAATCTCCATCGCTCCTCTCTTTGAGCCTGTCCGCCCTCCTAACCACTCCTATGCACCACGCTCATGCAATCCCAGAGTGCACTTCGCTCCTGCCGCTTCCAGTCTTCCTGTCCAGTCAAACTGGATGTTTGCCCAGTTTAAGTCAACGGACAATATTTTCTCGCTCCTTATTTTCCCCAGTTCACCACGAGTGTTTATCTGTTTGTCTTTCATTGTGACCAAAGGGTGTTCTTTCCTTTCCTTTGCTTTTTAAACCCCTCAGTTATGAAATAATGAATACAAATACACTCACAGACAAAAAAAAAATCACAATAACCAAAATGTTTTTATCAAAACAGAAAAAAAAAGTCCTGGTCGTTCATTCTCGGAACATTTTAAGCTCGAACTAACTGAGCCTGTGCTGCACTGCCTACCACGACTATTGAATATCATTGCATTCTATCGCCACATCATGACATGCTGTTTTAATCTCAACGGTTGAAATGTCTGAAAACTTCTTGCCTTCTTTATCAGCTGTTGGGGTATTGTGTGTCTGTGTATTCTGTCCATGGAGAGTATATATAATATGCATTTTTAATATGACAGTAGATCACATTAGCCACCTGTAAGGATATTAGCGCAGGCATGCTTAGCTAGCAGCAGACACTTACTGTATTAATAACACTCTTTCTATGGTTAGATGACTGTCATTTTTCGGCCTCACCCCTCTCTTTGTGTCTGTGATCTGTAGCAATTCTAGTCTTCTTCATCATCACTGGAGTTTAAACATTTCAGTACAGCTTTTTGTTATAATAGATCACACGTTTTATGGTTTTAAACTTACTTTGACAAGCGTTTCAAGAGGGACTCAGAAAGCAAAGGTGGAATCAATTTTAAATGATCAGTTAAATGTTACACATATGATTCTATTTTTAAACTTTCCATCTGAATTTATTCTTATCTTTGAGCGTGTGTGGTTGAGTGTGTGTGAAAACGGAAATGTGGTATTTTATTTTCAAAGTATATTCATTTTTTTCTGTACATAATGCTCAATATCAGTATGTGTTAGGACATCTTGCTCTGAGGTATTTATGATTGGGAAAATATCCTATTGGTTTCAGAAGTGAGCATAATGGATGTATGTTTTCAAAAAGAACGTTTTATTTTGATGTATTACATTTATATAATTTGTGCGTCTGTCATGAAACCGGTCCAAACGAAGAAGAGTGTACCATGAGATGTTCTAATTACTTTTCCTTTTTAACTGCAGATTAATACAGCTGTGTTAGCAGAGGTTGTTTTTTAATGCTGATCTGAGGCCAGCTGTGCTTTGTTCCCCTTATAATGATTTGGGTTTTGGAAACTGGCCCTGAAACAGCATTAAAAGTCATTCTCTAATCAAAGTTGAACACTGCTACTACTTTCACTGTGACTGGCCCACTTTTAATTTACTGAATCCGCATTCTATGTCTGTGGAGATAAAAATATGCATATATATATATGGTACATAAATATCTATCCTAAAAGGCATGTATTAGTTTACTATATGACTTTTAAAAAAGACATTTAAACACTATACCATGGCTGCAGTGTGTGTATATGGCTGAAAGAGAATAAAAGTGTACAAGTGTCATAACCTACATGTCATGGTTATTTTCTGGTTGTGTGTGGAGAGAAAGCTGACACGTGACATCAAACATACAGTACATATCACATCTTTATTGTAGTTTTCATTAAATATGTTGATTTGCTAGCGCCACCATGGCAACAAATTATGTAGTTCACATCCTCATATTGGCGTCGAGGTTCTGTAAGTATCAGCAGAGGAAATGTCTTTAAGAAGAGAAAAAGGAACATGGAGAAAATGGAAATGATGGTGTTGGCATAGTCCAGTTAGTGGTGAGGTTTTTCCTCAAGGAAGACCGTTCCATTCCGACATCACCCTCTATGACATCATCTTCTGATTGAGTGGCTCAAAGACACAAAGTCGCCACTAAGGGCAGTGTGCATGCTTGTAAATCAGGCTCAGCTCACTTTCGCTGCTCTTGCTATGGGCGAAAATAATGTCGGGATAAATAAAAATCACAAATGTGTGAAAATGATGCATGATTTCTCATAAGCTACTTATATATTTTTTTTTTTCTCATACAGCCATGATATAAAGTCCAAGGATATTTTCACAGCCACTCAGTATAGGAAAAATTAAGCTACATAGATCTGAAGGAAGGGTGATACTTCTAGATATGTTGGTTCATGATGATGATGATATTCACTATCATTATTACTGTATCAAATCCTGATGATATTGATAGAAATAAAACACAATTTGATAAGGAAACCATGAATTACACAACATAAACTAAGAAAAAAGACAGCATGGTCATTAAAAAAAAAAATAGTCCTCCATGCATTTGTCCAAAGCTTGTCAGTTTGATGTATCATATATGCTACATTCTCATTGATATCATTTTTTTGTTCTCATATTCTATGACATAAAGATAAACATACAGTCCATATTAGTATTCTGCAGTTCTCTTAAATCAAGTAAAGTAAATCAGAATCTTTAAGGAGCCAAACATTGTAAGCTAGCGAATATAAACAAAGCTTTTTGACAGCGGTTACTAAAATCTTTTCATTTTGCTGTAAGCCAGAATTTAATGTACGTATTTTTAAAAGTTCTTTTTTAAAGATTTTTTATTTTATCATTTTTTATCTGAACGATCACGACATATGTACATCACCAGAACAATAGCAAGCTCAATATTAACATTCTTATCTTTCAAAATTTGATATATTGCACACACATAAATAGACGTAAAAATACAGTACAGACTTGGGGAAAGGTGATTCTCTTTACATATCTATACATTTAAAATGCATACCAAAACAGCTTAAAAAAAGAAACAGAAAATAAAAATTTAAAAATACACTCCTTTTAATAATGTCCATATACGCGAATGGCCCATGGGTTTTGGTGTAGGTGACGACCTTTAGCAAAATGCTTGAACTCTCTGGTCCATGTGTGATAACATGTAAACGACCCTCAAGGGGGAAGGGGAAGGGGAGGGGCGTGGTTGTTGGGAAGGAGGTGTGGCTTAGGAGACACACCTCCAGTTTGACTGACAGATGGTTGGGTTTTTGCTGATGGTTTCTCCTCAGTTGGGAAATATTGAAGCTTAATATGCCATTAACTACAAAAATACACACAGACAAACACACATCAGCAAAACCTAGAAATAAGCATAACATTAAATTAGTATGATCAAATTCCACTAAATTATGAATTCATGTTTCTGACTGATATATTTTCATGTAGCTTAATAATAACAGGTCATTCTTAGGTCATTAGTTCTGCATTTGTGTCCCGATTATACTAGCATTCAAAAGTATGAGGTCGGTAAGATTTTATGTTTTTAAAGAAAGTCTCTTCTGCTCACCCAGGCTGCATATTTGATCAAAAATACAGTGAAAACAGAAATATTGTGAAATATTCATTTAAAATAACTGTTTTATATGTTAATATATTTTAAAATGTCATTTATTCCTGTGATGGGAAAGCTGAATGTTCAGAAGTCATTAAACCAGCATCACATGATCCTTCAGAAATCATTCTAATATAGTGATTTGGTGCTCAAGAAAAAACTCTTAATATTATCAATGTTGAAAACAGTTGTGCTGCTTAATAATTTTGTGGAAATCGTTCAAAAGAAAAGCATTTATTTAAAACGACTGCTGTCAAATCGATTAATCTCGATTAATCACATCTAAAATAAGTTTGTAAATATTATATATAAAAAATATGAAACTCACTGACAGAAGTCTTTCTATTTCAAATGCTCACGTGTGCTTTGTGAAGAGCGCTCACTCAGCGCTTGCTGTGTGCAACTCCGAGTAAGTGGTTAAATGTACTCGCATTTAATGCGTTTATGATGCGAAATTAATGTAAACACAGTCAGTTATGTCTTAAGGGATTAGAAAGGACAAACCACGTCTTACATTTCAAAAGAGATCTGTGCATCAGTATGAATGCAGCTTATTAGATCTCCCGCTGCCTATGATGTCATCAGTAATACTCCAACAACAAGGATGAGAAAGAGAAAAATCACTTCTTGAACGGAAAACATTCAGATACTCTTAAATACTGAAAGCACTCTCTGTTTATTGCTTGTAATACGTTTATTTGTTCCTCTTTATTATTTACTATTTGCTTTTATGTTTTGAAGCCATCTTAGTTAACATACTTAACATACAATTGTTTTAATTAAATTGTTTAATTTGTAATCACAAATTAATGTTTTTCAAGTCGGTAAACTGATTAAATTAAGAAAAAAGTAGATTAAGTAACGTTTTGGAATCAGATCGTGACTCCCAGAATCGGAATTGGATCGGATCGTGAGGTGCCTAAAGATTCCCAGCCCTAAAATATAGGCTATATATATATATATACTAGGGGTGGAACGGTACACAGAAGTTACGGTTCGGTTCATACCTCGGTTCAGACGTCACGGTTCGGTATGATTTCGGTACAATGGAGTGAAAAGCAAAACAAAAATGCAGAAGGCATTTTTATAAATGTCTTAAGCCTTGTATTTTTTAAATAAGTTTTATTAATAAAGGCATAGAACCAGTTTATTTGTAGTGCACTGACAATAGTTTTATATAATTAGTTTATTAATTAAATTATTAAAAAGATGAAAAGACCTTGAGATATGTTTGGTAATTGTACCTGAATGAATTTAAAATTAATTTGCTATTTCAGATCAATATATTTTTGTTTTCCTTCATTTTAGTTAACCCTAACTTTATTCTCATCTGAATTATAAATAGTTGATTTCCGTATAAAATAATACTACCATTCAAAACTTTTGTTAACAGTTGTAGGTTACAGTTCGACAAGAGTTTAGAGTGTGACAAAAGCACAATGTAGTGTTTTATTGCGAGTGTACACAAATATAAGTAACAATTTGCAGTTTTAATGATGTCCAGTATAAAAAAAATGACTGAGTCTGTTTTTATGTTTCCACTGTTCGATCGCGCAGGAGAGATCATTCTCTCTCTCGCACGTGCGCGCACACACACACGCGCGCGCACACACACACACACACTGTTCGATCGAGCGATTCGCGCCCGCGCCTCTCTCTCTCGCACACGCGCGCACACACACACACATACTGTTAATCGCCTCTCTCTCTCTCTCTCTCTCTCTCTCTCTCTCTCTCTCTCTCTCTCTCTCTCTCTCTCTCTCTAGCATTGCAATCTTGATCACAGTCTTGATCGCAGCCTGCATTCACAGTCACACCAAAAGCGAATAAAGCGAAATTTATCGCTATTTAAGAGGGGTTTTTTTTGTACCGTGTATTCTCCGTGCAAATTCGTGCACCGAACCGTGACGCCCGTACCGTTTCGGTTCGATACGAATACATGTACCGTTCCACCCCTAATATATACAGTATATAAACAAACTTTTATGTTAGATGCGATTAATCGCAATTAATCGATTTGACAGCACTATTTAAAATAGAAGTCTTTTTAACATTGTGAATGTCTTTACTGTCACTTACAAACGGTATGATTAACTAAATTAGAATGACCCTTTGGCGATCAATAGCATTATCATCTAAACTAAACAGTAGAAACGCTCTAAGAGTCTTACTTGATGGGCACACTTGGGGCTCCAGAGCGATGGAAGTGTATGTTCAGCCACTTGCCATCTCGACGGTGCCAGACGCGGGTCTCCTCTGACTGCATGGTGCGGGGCATCCCACTGACATCCATGTACTGGGTCAGACGGATGTACGCGATACATGCCGCATCCTCCCCGATCAGGTGCACATGGGGGTTCAGCAGGATAGTGTGTACAGGCTTATTACCTTTGGACAGAGCTAGAAGATATTACGGTGATCAAAATACTGATGTAAAAATTCAAGATAGCGTTTGCAAGTGTGTAAAGATATTAGTCTAAATACCGTTCTCAAAGTAGAACCTGTGGAAGTCATGTCCCTCCACCAGGTTTCCCAAAGCTTCTGGCTCAAAGGAAGTAAGACCAGGATCGCAAATCTTTCTGTGAGAAAAAGAGCAGAAAGTAAAGCTAAAAGTCTCGTTTTGTGGGCACACATTGGTACAAAAGTACCTGGAACGTTCCAATTTTAGTCTGTGAAGAATAAATGTGAACGTATGTAGTCGCTGATATCATCTGAATTTCCTTTTGATCTCC